CTGGTCTGGTATTCACGCCCTTGACAGTTGATGCCTCAGCGGTGGCGACCAACCACGTGCTTCGCTTGAGATGCAGGACAAACAAAAACTACTTGTCAAGATCAGTCCTCCAAATATGTTTGGCAGTTGTTCATGATGGACGCTTCACATTTCTATACTGGAAACATTTGGAAACATTTCCACTGCTTGCACTTTTGCATTGTATATACATATCTATATATATATATATATACATATACATATATAGATATATATATATATATAGAGATTTGAAAATCCACAGTTGACACGGCAGAGTTTGTCATTTCGTTGCTTGGTCATGTCTACGCATGTTGATGAAGGGATATGAACGTTTTGTTTGCCTTTTCTGACTAAACCCTGTCGTTCTGAGAGTGCAAGAACACATGAGGCAGACCTGTTGGAGCAAGCTTGGCCAGCAGCACAGGCTGGGTTGAGATTTGGTGTTGCAAGAGCTTGCAGCATTTTGCTCTCTGGGTTCGGGGGATTGGGCTCCTGATGCTTTGCCACAGAAATCATCAGGATCGACCTGCTCACCTCATGGACTTGTATCACAGGCCAGGATTTAGATTCAACTGCGGCAAAGCGGCACTAGGAATTTTTGATCAGTTTTGTATATTTGTGTGCCCTTTATGAACGTTCATCCAGAAATAATTCTGCCCGTTCTGCGTGGTACTAAGTGTCACTTCACGGGCGTTCTGCAGCTGTTGTTTGTAGGGATTTTCTTTGCCGCGAAAAACGTGTGGTAGAATTGTGCCGTTGGCACAAGGGGCGTGATGACTCCCGAAAGAAGTCAAGCAATTGCCTGGCCCTTGGTCGACATACTTGCTGGAAGGCCTGTCTTCGGAGCACCGCACCGCCGGTATTCTGAATCACCAAACTGACTTCCAAGCAAATGTCCGGTCAGACCCAAGAATCGACTGGACCAAGATTCTTCTGAACATCCTCGCAGATGACGTGAATGCTGGTTTGAACCTCAAATGTTTTTGACGAAACTTCTGCAGGAGTGACAAGGTGCGAGGGCATCTGCTATGTATGCAAAATACTTGACATGGGATAGAGAATTTGAAGTGTCGGATGAGGTCACGGCTCTGGCTATGTCGGTTCGCCAGTGGTGGAACGCACGGCGCCCATGTTGGGACCCTTCAAGCAAAGCATGTCGAATGAATTCAAATAATAAAGCATTGCCTTTGATTTTGCTCTGTGCTGTGTTGGTTTCCAGGTGTTGGCGGCCAGGAGGCGAGGGTTCCAGATGTTCCAAGAATGCAAATTGCAACATGAAAGACTGGCACTGCAACATTGTGCAGGCTTCTGTAATTTGATGTAGATTGATGTAGATTGTAGGTTGTTTGCTGTGCCACTGAGTTCTCTCCTTTCCAGGGGGTCCACTTTCATCATTTCTTTACCATCACAACAAAGATAACTGAGTTGAACATGTTGAAATCGAATAGCAAATAGATCTCGACTGGAAGGGCAGCAAGACACGCATCATCACGAATCATCACGAATCAACTGTGATGGAATTGACTCCAGGCGATTCATTTTCATTCGATCAGCTGTTCCCTCTCACCTCTTTCTTGTCACTTGTCGCTGCAGATTTCGGACATGAAGGAACTGGTGGAGTGCCTTCAAAATGAGGCGTTGCTGTGCCAATGGCTGTTGGATGCGGACTGATGCCGTTGGGTTTTGTATGGTTTTGTTATTTTGTTGTTTGATATATTGTTTAATTTAATCTTATTGATAATATATAATGATAGTAACACACACGCACACACTTGCGAAGTCATGAAAGACAGTTTCTTGTCATGAATGCAAAGTCTGATTACCTCATGGTAGGTTGAAGGCATCACTCGGCCATACCGAGTTAAAAAGGCCAAGCTTATCCGTTGACATTTGAATGTCAGGTTGTTTAAAAGAAAAACCAATATTGCTCAATCAAACGTGATCATAAAATGACTGAATGACGGCATGCAGGTTCTTGGGTTGGCCTGATCCCATAAAATACTAACGGATACGAATATGACCACCAGCTATGACCCCAACATATTGGGTATGTCATCCAGGTGCATCATGCAGGTACGTTTTCACAACCTGAGGTGAGTGTCTTCATTGGCACAAGACTCACCAAAGGTCCTTGTGCCCCCTGCTATGAATTAAGGTGCAACGGTATCCATAATTTATGGAAGAAAGCAGTTAAAAAAAAATATATATATATACATAATTGTACATATACGTAGTAATACGATTTATGTTAATTAAATGTACGTCATTGTTGGGTTGTGAAGATGTTTCAGTGGACAGGTGCGTGTGAAGGAGTTCGTGGAGATGGACTTCCGGATGGCAGTTCGGGGGCCTTGTGCTGGCAGAAACTTTGACCACGCAATGAAGATGCGCCAACATGCGCCAACATTGACTACGTGATACTACGTGATAATTTAAACAATTACTATAGGTTTTATTGTGTGTTTAAATCGTTTAAAGGAAGAATTTGCCGTTTGATGTTGTCTCCTGCCTTCCATTGCCATCCATCCATAAGTGTCGTGTAGTGTTCTGTCCAAAGATTCCAAAGACGCAAATTGAAAGCTGCAAGGTGGGGCCATACAGCATGGTGCTGAAGTCTTCTGAGGTTGCTGAGGCTCAACAGTTTCAAACTACAAATATACGGGAACAACATGTGTTTGTTCCTACACATCCTCTGTTCTGGTGAAATGGCACAGACATTCTTGGGTGCAAAGTAGCTTCTAAGACTAGCAAGCACTACTTGGCAGATTTGCAAGGGGTGAAGCGGGTGAAGGTGGGCTGTGTGCAGAATCAAGCGTACTTCGGAATCCGATTGCGTTCCGTTTCTTAATAATTTTGTTGCAGTTCTTGCTTAATTTAATCCTGATTACTTTGACATTATTGTTGTGCAAGCGAATGCGGATGAGTGGGGCATACCGTGTCGAGCGTCCTCAAGATTTTGAGCGAGAAGTAAATGCTCGAAGTGGTAAAGTTGTTTGTTGATCTTTGTTGTACTGGACATGATATCAGATGATGAAACTTTTGCCGAAGCCAGTGTGTTTGAGAATTCACGACTTATCTGCTCTTTTCAGATTTGCGATCCTCTCTTTGGGTCCTTCGGCTGGCAGGCAGATGTGAGAATCCGTGAGCTCTATCAACTGTCAACGGCTTAGCGGCCTTTCCATTTTGTTGGGTTGGGACCACATCTTTGTGCACTCTAGAGACTATATAGGATATATAGGGACTCTAGAGTAAAAGGCGTGTTTCATAGTAGATTGTATTCACATTGCTTTGGCTTGGGATGCTGAAGCCGCCGTTCAGGCCCAGCTTGGCTTCAAGGAATTTACTCCCTGAGCCCATTCCTGCCATTCCACCAGCCCTGGGTGTTGCTACTGGCTGAATTGCATTCTTTTTGGTTGCCATTGCTAATTTATGTCTACAAAATAAGAATCCTTTGATGATTTTGATCACTTGAGACTTTCATTAGTTGTTTTGCTGAAGCATGCTGAAGCTGCCTCAGCTACCATGCACTAGGGCCGTCAAGCAAGCAGCTTGAATTGTGGCCCATGCTTTGCATGGCTCAGCATGCAGTACAAACACGATGTCTGAGCCACTCGGGGCGCACAATGTGTTGCGACGGTTAAAAGAACCGAAAAGCCGTGCCACCAAGTGCTATCCATTTTTCACTGGGCGAGGGTGTCAAAGACGGGAGCCTTCAACAGTCCAGCCCTATGGAAATGTCCCAATGCCAATGCCACACCCAAACGGGTTGGCCACAACTTGGATCAACTTGGTGTCACAAACGGTCCCAACACCTTATTGAGCCGCTAAATGCTTTGGAGATTGACGGCGCCTCAGGCGCGTATGGTGTGAATATGTGTGAATGCCTAAGGAGTCCACAGCTCAGAACATGATAAAAGAATATAAAAGATGTTCAAAGATTTTAAATGTATAATTGGCAGCGTTGGCAGGGCATGGCGTGGCATTTTTCACAACTGCAGTATGGCAGGGATCCAATGTCCTGAACTCTCCGAATCTCTCTTGACGGAAGCTCTGGGCTAAAAAGATTCCGCGCCCTCGGCATTTGGAGATGAAATTGAGGAGGTTTGAAGCTCCCTTCTAGCTATGGCTATCTATAACTCATTATAACTCCAGGTCAGGTGTATTTCTCCTCTCACCTCAATGGGGTTTGCAGCTTGACACTGCTGCCACTAAACTCAACCATACCCCAGCTGCCCAGCCTCCATGACAATGTTTAGATGGGACTTCTAGGCTTTCATAGACAAATAAATCCAAAAGACGCACGAATCACAGCCCTGTTCCGGTTTGAAGATCTGGACAGCAGAGCACAACTCTTGTGAACTTGCGACGTACATCGGGGTACAGTATTAAGAGGTCCATTAACCATGCCCGGTTCATCCCGGTTCTGCAGATGCAGACTGGATTTGGGTGGGGAAATATGGGGAAACGGTTCAGCCACCATTCGGTTGGTCCAAACACCACTGCGGACACTAAATCCGATTAGAGCGTAGCGTCCGGAAGCAGATCCAATGTTCGAATTTGCAAGCGACAACTCGATGATCTCGATGTATTGAATATGTATTTAATAGATCTTAATAGCCCAAAAGAATTGGGATTGTCATTTGATGCCATTTGTTTGTCAATTGGTCTTATATTTGACTGACTTGCTTAGGTTTTGCGCAGGAGAGCGACTTTGAATTGAGCACGCTCCTCGCATTGGCTCTTTCAAAGGACATATTTTTTTAACGACAGCAGCTCAAGAAGAATTGCGATATATTGCGATTCAGCATGGCATACAGTGTGGAAAGTGGAACCACACAATACATACATACTGTTACACACACATACACACACACATATATATAATTATATGAAATATGCCTACTGCTTGCAGCGACAGAGACTGCCTCCTGCATGGATCCACATGGCAAGTGAGTTCCAATGGCATTCCATCTTGGGCAAATCAATCAAGGGTCAAGGGGTTGAAGACCGGCTATGGCTGTGGAAGGGCCTCCAGATTGCAAGCAAGGGCCACAATAATTGATTTGAATCAAGTGTTGTGATGTCAGATTTCAAATGCATATTGCAAAGTCAGCTGCGTCATGCCTGCCTGCTGTCAATTTCTGATATTTTTGGCTATCAGTGGTCATTGGTGGTCTATCGGCAAACATGGTTAATCATGTTTGACCGGAAACGCCAAGGTGCTCCTATTGCCATCAGTACTTTGGAAATAAAGGAGGACGTGTGATGCACGAGCGTGCCTTGGCACTTTTGTTTCGAATCGCTGTTCCTTGCGTTTGGGAAAAGAGTCATCACTAAGAATCACTACATTTGGCAAAAAATCGGGAGACTGCATTGACGAGCCTCCGTTTGCCTCCACATTTCAAACATTCAGCTTGCGGACCTAAAGTGTCGAACCCGCCTCCCAAATCTTGAGTCAGCACATGTCAGCACGACTTGTGTCTCTCCTATTTCCTTTTAGGGTAGTATGGAGTGAAAGGCTGTCCTGACAGGTCAGATTGAAACCTATTGCTAGATCAGTCAGTGTTTTGAGTGTCATTTTCCGACATGAATAAACCTTGAGCTCAGGATCTCATTTCAACAGGTATACACTGAATAGAAAATCGCAGGAACTTTTGTAATTACCTACGATATGTGTTTCAGAATCGAAACAAATTTGCAGTCGAGATAGAAACAGGAACAGCTTTTCCCCGGAAACAAAGTTTGAGACACATCATGAATTACAGACGGTTTATATTCATGTGTTTCTCCGTCTTTGTAGAAGCTTGCGCGCCAGATACATGCATACATACATACACATATATAACTCTAACCACACGCGCACACACACTGTTAGATTAATTATATATATATAAATAGATAAATCAAATATATATATATACACATTATATTATTTAATCATACAGTTACATACATACTTGTTATTACTTCTTTACATCAGAGGGGTTGGTATGATGGTTGGTACAGGGTCTCCGTTTCCATTGAGTCATTGAGTACAGGAGTCATTGACCGATCATCCAAGGTTGGTGTAGAGACCAACCGCAAGGCCAAATTTGCATGGGACCAATGTTTGCCCTGCTGGTATGATTCCATCAAGCATGAAACCCATTGAAACCCTACATCCATTCACTTTCTGGAAAACACAGATGGAAAACTGAGTTCTGCGGTGTCTGCGGTGTCGCATTGAAGTCAATGTCTTTAGGTGAATCCGCCACCAATTACTAGACAGCGCATGCTGTTTGGCCGCTTATAGCCACATGTTGCCACGGGAACGTGTCTCCATGTCAATGTGATTTTCCCATCTTTTTCCCCTGGAGGGCAAGTGGTCAAGACAGAAGATGATGATGACAAAGCGGTTCCCAAGCGTCCGAGAGCTGACGAGGTGCGACCTAACTAGAATCTTTGCCGGAAGTTGTCGGGACTGTAAGGGAAAACTAGCACTGTCTTGTAAAGGTCCAATGTGGTTCAATAGCATCAATAGCACTGGATCATACTGGACCCAAAAAAGTTCATGGGTTAAACCTTTGCTTGATGCCTTTTTTCCTGTGTCTTTCAGGGCCTATCGTCATGGTAGGAAACGTTGAAGCTGGATTCAAAAAAGGGATAGATAAGGTGGTATTCAATGCCTCACTCCAGTAACGATTGTTGACTTGCCCACTAATGTGCTCACTCAGCAAGAAATGAGCTTCACTAAACCAGCTCAAGACTTTGACATGCAACTCTACTGGAAAGAAGCCATATAGAGTACAGTATAGTGCAAAAACGCAAAGACCTCGGTGTTATCAAGAGAGGCTGCCGAGTGGGAAGTGAATGCTGTTGGTATGATACACTTGTCGTCATAGCATTGGCAGTTTCATATGCCTGAAGTGTGGCTGCTAAGGATCTCCTAAGGCTAATGTACTGTAGCATTTCACACTTTCTTGACATGCGCATGGACTTGCATGTGACTGCACGGGAAAGATAAATCAAATCATGACTGAAAGTTTCCCAGTGCACGCCTGCAATAGTTGCAATGGCTCTGCATGATGACCTATTGCACCAACAATATTGCACATGTGCACCCAGAACTCATTGTCTTTGGTCGTCGATCTGCGGCGACAGAGGGGGTATTCCAAGCACACGTCTAACTTTGCAAACCTTGTTCCAGAGTATATTCTGTGTGCCGCACGCGCTACAGGTACCTCTGGCCCCCGCAGCAAAGAAAGGCAGGCACAAGTAGGATCCAGTGAAGTCAATTAGAACCAGGTAGAGCTATTCTGACGTACATTATTTATAAAGAACATTTATGAGCTCATCGATGGCCAAGTAATATATAATTAATGAAATAAACATATTGTTACATATTGAAGATAATAAGCAAATTGCATGCTGCAATAAAAGTAGTTTTTTTGGCGAATAACAAACATAAATGAACCATGTGGTGAAATGAAAAAATATGAATGTGGTCTCCAATAATATTAAAACTATCAGTTCTGGATGGATAAGCTCATGGCTGCTCAACAAGCGTGGCCTTTCCCTGCAGGCAAGGTTGCCCAAGAAGAACGAGACCAGGACCAGGCACCAGCTCTTCGTTTCCTTTTGCTCAAAGGTTTCAGTGCAATTGGCTATCACGCAACTACAATGCTTGGAAAGTTGAGTTTGGAGGAACCCATTGCTGAACCCATGGCGGATTCCCTGCCAAGCCCTAGTGGAGCGGGGATTGGAGCTGAAACGCCAAGCCAGAGCAAAACGACAGAAAGACCCAAGGGAAGACCCAGGACGAAAAAAGAGAAAGAGAAAAGACCCAGGGGAAGACCGAGGAAAAAACAGGAGAAGCAGGCTGCTCCGGATGAGGCCGAGGCTTGCTCCCTGGGGATCGGGTTTGGGATTTAAGGCCATTTCGTTAAACATCTGGGGAATTCGATGCGATTTCGATGCGAATTCTGTTTCCGGCACTTTGGGATGGGGTGCAGGCCGAAGGACAAGACGAAGAAGAGGAAACCAAGGTACCCGAGTGCTGCAGCAGCAGCATAGGAGGCTCCTGTCCGACAGTTTACATTTCAGGATCCTTGGCTAATTGGTTAAAGTAGGCCAGGTTGCATGTAGGGATTCGGCATGATGCTAAACTGCCAGCATTTGCTAGCTACTGCCGGAGACTTTGTCAATTTTGGTAGTAGTTGTATCTTATCTGTGTCTGTGTATAGTTGTGTATATTATCTTTGTCATTCTTTGTTAATTAACGTGTTTGGATTTCGGCAATCAAACCGCACCACCCACATGCCCAGATATTTCCACAAGATCAGTGCCATTCAGTGCCTGTCTAAGGAACCCATCCACCACGATGGCTGCTGCCTTCCGATGCAAAGATCTGCGGGATGCCCAGAAAGAAAAATGTCACAGCTGCAGCGGAAACCCACCAGCCCGCCGGCAGCATGAGTCCCACAGGGATTTGTCAAATGCTTTGGGTGGTTTCATGATGTTCAAAATTACAAATTATGAAGATGATTAAATCATATTATATAAGTCTAACAAGAATAATATGCTGGCTGGTATTTGTACTATGCGCTTGAATATATGCAATGTACATTGTTCGAAACAGTGATGTAACACGTAGCGGTTCTCGCAGCCAACCCGCCTGAGGACAACTACCGACGCAGCGAATGTTGAGGGGCTTGTGGCTCCAGAAGCATGGCCTGGTTTGGGAGAGCTGCCGCCTGACTTGCCAGCTGATTTCAGGACGCACCCAGATTTCTAAAGACTTGGGGTATCTTGGGGTAAAGGGTCGAGGTGCTTCGGGAATCGCACACAGCTCATTCTAGCCGCTAGCCATCGTAGTTAAAATGTTAAATGACTTTCAGACTTTCAGGCATGTGTCTTTATGGAATTTCGGACATGGATTGATCGTATTTGCCTTTTGATGCATTGGGTACATGGCTTCAAATGGGGCGGTACTGTCCAATGCCATTGCCTGCGCCAGTGCAAGTTTCTGTGTAATATGATCTTCACACGGTGCACATCCGTATGCGCATACATACACATACATAATTACATCACATAATATCACACATCATCACTTTACATTGTGATGCATTGCGTTGGATTACATACTTGAAATTACAGTGCATTACCCTGCGGTACATTACAGGCCATTACCCTGCAATACATTACACTACATTGCATTCGATCACATTGCGTACATAGAATACAGGCAGGCAACCAGGCAGACAGAGAGGTGCCCTATGGGCCTTGTGTAGTTGTCATGTTCCAGCCCTGAGTGAATGGCAGGAGTTTGCTGGTGCTGGGACCTTCTGGCAGTGGCAAATCAACTCTGCTGAAGGTGTTGCTAGAGAAGTTCTTCCCGGATTACCAAGGGCCTTTGTGCCACGGCAGGTGTTTAGAAAAAGTGAGTCTTGTAGCAGGTGCTAGCAGGCTTTGCCTTTTTACAGGCTGGAATTTTAAGGAAGAATTCGAAACAGATTGTTAAGAATAGCATTCTGGCCGTAACCTGCTTGGAAGACGGCAACCAGGGCTAACAGATAGCATGAATTGATTCTGCTAACAATGCACAGAAGCAGCTGGGAAAGGGGTTGAAAAGGCTGAGATATCAATGTACTGCCATGATTATCATGATTACAGCCTATGCAGTCCATGCAAGTTTGGCAAGGTATCCCTGCGGACAATGGCCGGAGGGGCGGGCGCTCATTGAAAACTTTAACAGCGCAGAACAGGGCACCTCTCAAGCACATAAACCCACTTCCAGAATGCCAACTGAACAGAGCATAGCATCAATTCATGCAATGGCATTGGAGAAGTGTTTGATGTAATGTATTGTCATTTCTGCGGCCAACGTGCAGTTGTTTTGCTCCCGATGTTGGCATTTAGCCATCAGTGTGGGGCCATTTTGCTCACCATTTTTGGCGATTGTTTTCATGAAATCTTGGTGTCATTTGCAACTTCCATTTGATTTGATTTCATTTTATGCCTATAAAACTTTACAGTGTTGATTGTTGATCGCTGGTCAGGGCGAGCCTGTCTAACCTCCGTTGGACTGAGCAGCGTTCCTTCATGGTGCAAGCCATACGAAGTGCTGTCTGTTGGGGAAAGGCTCGGGCTTGCAGCTGGTGAGTTCTGAAGGTTGTTCTTGATGCCTGAATTTCTTTCCATTTCGTTCCACCACTTCTGGGATTGTGCGGGTTTCAAGCTTGGACTTTTCAGATTCAGTTGTCATGCCAATCTATATCAAGCCCATTTGCAGGTACCGAGCGAATTTGGCCCTGGCATTGCAGCAAAGAGAAACTGACCCAGACAAGCCTTTGGTCTTCGATGAATGGACCAGCGAACTGGACAGAGACCTTGCAAAGGTGGTCTCCGTTGCATTTTGCAAGCGAATGCGAGACTTGGATAGACTAGACTTGGCACATTTTACACGGCTTCAATCGCATATCTCAACTTTGTGCCCTATGCTAATCTATGCTGCAATGCTCTTCCAGCTGCAGTTGGCAACGCTTGATTGAGGGCTACAGTACAACAGTAGAATTAAGGAAGCAAATCCAGACCTGTTTACCCCCTGTTCCAAAACGCGCTTTTATCTCCATTTGGATGAATGGAGAGGCTTGATTTGCCAAGCGCATCTTGGTCCCATGCAGACTGTAAGCCAGCGGCAAATGTGTTTTTGAAATGGCTGGCACATGTTGGCACATATAATGGCAAGAGGTTCTCACTTCAGATGACATCCAATTTGTGCATTTGGTTGGACAGATGTTTTGCCTGGTGATTTTCAAGCGGCGTGCCCAGAAGCCAAGGACGGGAATGGACAATCGAAATGCCAGAGACGCCAGAGGTCAGCAAGCAGGGCGTTTCCTCTCCGTATCTCAATACAATGAACTGGACGTGTCCCCAAAGCGATCCAGTTGATCCATCTGAACAGGCGTTTGTTATTAAATTACATAATGGATTCGAACAGTGATGATAATAATAAATTAAATACGACATATATAATAACACAGTTTCATAGTATTATTATAGTAATATGTTGATGTATGTTGTACGCTTGATTGTTGAGTCTGTGCTCTTTAGACCAACGAAGGGGCGCCACAACTACATACAACTGGCCAATGACATCACTACGGGTAGGGGTACCCTAGCTGCTTCTATTCCGTCTCCGTCTCTGATTATTTGCGTATGGTGAGAGTGCTGGGCAGTCATTTGGGATGAAGTGACTATCCAGAGGCCACACCCAGTGACTTTACAATGTTTGGCAGTTTGATGGCAGACTTTGGCAGACTTTGGCAGACTTGCAGGTGGAGAAAACGGAGTCAAAAGAAGAGATCAAAGAAGAGATCAAAGAAGAGGCATGGCAGGCCAGGCCAGCACGATCCAGCACAGCAAAGAACAAAGAACTGAATTTGTCCAAAACGTTAGCACTGAAGCCCGTTCTGAAAAGACTACGTAATGACTACGTCATTCTACGTGCTTCGAACATCTTCGAACCAGTTCACAGACATTGCTGACGTACAGGTGAAAGAGGAGTTTCTTGAGCAAGCTTGGAGTTTATTGATGGACGATCCTTGCGATGTTGAGATGCAGAATGGAGCCCAAGAAGCAACAGAGGCTGAAGAGAAAGGTGAAGATTGGGGTGAAGACTGGGGAGAAATGGGCGAAGAAGAGACCTGTGAAGTTGACCCTTTGGTCGAGGAATCTGGCTGCTGACCTGGGGCTGTTGGGGGTGTCAGCGCAAATTTGATGATGGTGCAATGTAGATTCATGAAGGATTTCAGAAACGCAGTTTTCCTTTGGATTATGACAGGTGTTCAATTGCTCCACTTTGTCGTGTGCGCATGCATCACTGCAACCCTGTGTTCACAACTGTCTCAACGGGTGGAAGCGAAGGAGAATGAAAAAGAAGGAAACGATGTGGCGGGCGAGAACCCGCTCGCCGAAGGAGGAAAGGATGACACAAAGAAGCCCGAAGCCCCCAAGGCTCCGTCTTTGTTCGTTCTCTTTTGTCATGGCACTGACAGGGCTGTGCTGTGTGGGACAAAGTGGGACACGGAACCTGTGCACAACGGTGTTTCTCTTTGGGGCATTTTGGGGCCATGTTCGAAAAAGGGTTGGATCCCTTGGCACCCACATTTTCAATGGGCCTTTTGATGCCTTTTGCCTCAGCATCCCTCAGCCAACATGGAGGTGCGTCCGGGAGGACCCTATATCTTCGCTTCTTGCCACGAGGAGCTCTATAGAGACTAATTGCTGGCCAGTTGCCGGGCTTTCCCGCACTCTTGACCGACACTGAAGAACAGATCGTTGCAACCAATCAATTGGGGGTCCCAGGTTCAGCTTGCCAAATCTTGCAAGCTTCAATCTTCTCATGGTGCATTACAATGTTCTCCTCAATACGCTCATGATCGTTTACGCCTTTTGCGTGTGCGTAATGTGTATGTGAATTCTGTGCCATTCCCATGCCTACGCATTGCAATGCCTTTGTAGACCTCATATGATTTCATAAACAATCATATAGCAGACAGCTCCGCTGAGCCAGGACATTTTGAACTATTTGCAGCCGCAGTACGTCATCTTTTGCGAATCCGGGGCTCAGCCTCGCCTGATCAAAAACCCAAACGAAGGAAAGCTGCTGTCGCTCTCCTCCCGATTGGAAGGAGTAACAGAACCCATTCGACACCATTTGGTGGGCAGTTGGATGCCGGGTAACAAGATCTTCAAACCGTTCATGGTTACTCACAAGGTGGGAGTCAGAGTGTGCAACAAGGGAAGGGTATGACTCGGTATGTATCACGGCTAGGAACGCCTCCGGCCTAGAAAAACATGCTCTTGACTCTTGCTGCATCCATTCATAATTCATCATAATTCTGCAAGCTCGCAGGGCGCCGCTCAGCCAAACATCTTCAAAGTCTGGTTCGAAGGTGGAGAGAGAAGTGCAGCTTGGTGTCCAATTCATTCTTCAGCTAAGCACTGCACATTTGAAATGTCACTTCTAAGTTGGGCGGACTTGATGCATTCCCTTCTCTTTGGGTTTATGTCATGCGTCCGGTGCAGTACTGAGTTTACAAAGTACCTGTTGATTTTGGCACACCTGCTACTTGCTGCTCGCAGGACAAGCTGGAGAAATCAGGTGATTGGTATACAGGCAAACTTGTGCCCAGTCAGAAAAGGATTCGTTTCAAAGTGCTTGGCCCAAAACGCCTAGAGATGCAGCGCGAAGAAGGTCAGTCCTTCGGGAAGATTGTGAAGGCTGGCCGAGAGATGGAGAGAGGATCAGGGTGGATCAGGTTCAGAGAGGCAGCTTCGACATAACAGTTATCATAACACCTATTATGTAATTTAAAAAACATATATACTGTATATATAATTGTTATGCATATATATATATATACTGCATATATTTATATGTATATACAAAATTATTTACATATTCTCGGAATGTCTTGAGATAGGCATGCCTCTGAAGAGCTGAATGAGACTGAGATGTCAGCCATGTCAGCCCACTTCAGGCCACCCGACGGCGAATGCTGGCTGCGCATCAAGCATTCGCTTTGGTCGATGACTCTGACGCCTTTGTTCGCATCTTGGCTGAGAACCAACGATTTCCAGACGATTGACCACATTGAAGTTGACGGCATTTTGTTGGAGCCAATCGCAGGTGAGAAGAAAATGCTGAATTATTCTGACTGTGGACGAGATCTTTTAGATTCCAGTGGCTGGTTCTTACCCCCAGAGTGGGGAACAGATGGCCTCTACAAGGGTTTGATCCTTGGAATAATGTCTGACTTGGACGTTGAACTGTGTGAAGATACGTCAACATCAACTTGCTTGAACATTGGCAACATTGGTATCTTATCCGCCCATCTTTGTGTCTTTGTGCTCTCAGCAACTGATCTTGCGTCGTTGGCGTGGACTGCGTCAACAATGTTCCATGATTGGAGCCTTTTCCAAGGAGGCGACGTGGAAATCCCATAGTTGTCCGCACCATGGATTTTCGCTACAATGCGAAACTGGAGCAGGCGTGACGGCATAATAGCATGACAGCAAGAGTTTGGGGAGCAAGTCCAGGTCTTTCAAATCGGGAAATATTCTCAAGAACCTCCACAGCAACACATGGTCACATGATCAATTGCCAGGGGGAGGTTTTCGCTAATCAAAGACACAGAAACCAATTGAGATTGTGGCTGAACAGAACATATCTCACATATCTCTCGTAGTTTCATATGTTTTGATCTGAGCCGCCTGACCTTGAACCTGCATTTTCAAAATGATGTGCAGCTTTAAAACTCAAGGTGGCATAGTTGTTCAATGTTGTTCAGAGTTTGCTTGCAAAGTTTTTTTCCAGCTTGCTGGATCAGATAGTGCTGCCAAATGCTGCCAAAGTTTCTGTACCCTGTCGGTCCAAGTCCTCGCTAAACTAGGCCTTTGCTAAAGGCCTGGTTAAACTAAGCCTTTAGGACTGAGGTTCCCTCTATGTGATTACTTTTGAGCTCGTATTTTTGTGAGACTTAATTAGCCGAGCAAGGTCCCACCCCCAGAGATATCCAATGCTTGAAAAAAATAGGGCGCAACTTCGAGATTTACGAAAATAGTGACACCGTGAAAAAACCGTGAAAAGGCCATGAAAAGCTAGTGAAACTCGTGAAAAGGCCGTCCAAAACCCTCAAAATCAGGTTTGTGCAAGAAAATGCAACTGAACGGGTGTGCGATTTTGTGACCAATTTTTCTCATGAGTGCTCCCGCTCTATGTGGCTGCTATTGGCTGCTGCTGATCTTGCGGTGCGGATTTTTTTTTTTTGTTTTCAAGGTATGAGTTTTTTGAGGCCAGTCATTTAGGTCCTTTACTCTAACGGCCACCGTTAAATTGCTCCTTTGGACTGACTGCGGTAGGTCGACGATCGTCAGCGACATTTGGCAACGTACGTGGGTGAAGTTGATGGCACTTTGGGTGCGGCTTTGCAGAACGTCTCGAAGCTGTGGCTTGGAATAAATGTGTGAAAAACATGTTTATATAAAGATCATCTTGTACACCAGGTCACCATCTTAAGATATCTTAAGAATTTAAGATATCTTACAATGTTATATCGCAATATGACGTTGTCTGCTGAAGTGTGCCATGGATTCAGCGACCTGTTCGGCACATGCCATGCAGTTGGTGTGCGCCAAGGCTGGACCTTCCCTTCAGTGGTTTATGCACGCACCGCTTGGACACGCTGAAGTTCAATGACTTTCAGCTGGGCGTCATCACGGGTCCTTCTGGCAGTGGCACTTTGAATTCATCATGGGCCCGGGAGCAATCATATCATGGCAAAACGACACGAGATAACCATATCATGACCATATGAAGTCAAATCAGTTGTCCAGCTGGCATGCATGCGGTCACATGGGGGGGTCCGCGCGTGGACTGTATATATATATATATGGCAATGTTTCAGAGATGTTCAGAGCATGAGCAGTTGATGGGTCAAATGCTTTCTCCAGATGCCTTTTTCGTTTGCGTATCCTGTTCCTGATCCTGAGGTAAGAGCACGTTGGCAAGGGACAAGTTTGGACCCAGCCCCAAAATCTCCTGGCTGCTCGGAGATCACTGGTTTGTGGAACTTGTTTGCAGTCATGTTTGAACCTGGGTAGGAAAACCGCAAGCACTATGCAGACTTTTGTCGCAGCAATGTATATATGATTATATGATAATGGATGCTTCATACCCCCAACTACTAAAGGGTTTGAAATGGTATACCCAGGGCTCTCCCGAGGGGGGGGTCTAGAATGGTATTTTTTCATGTTAGACCCCAACCCCCTGATGATCTCAGACCCCTCAACATAGGTTTTTATCATACTTCCCATAATCATAATAGACCCCAAAACTGATGATTCCAGACCCCCCACCGTTTAGGTCTAATATGATCAATCTCATTTTTGACAATTTGAGGGGGTGGTTTCACCCTAGACCCCTTTTTGGGGTCTGGAATCATTCCACCCCCCCCAAAACTTCCTCCCACATTTGGGGTCTAAAATCAAAAACGTAAAAGGGGGGGGTTTACAAAAAAGATATTAGACCCTGCTACGTTATCTCACATAACTTGATGTAAATTTTAACGAGTTTCCTACGTTTTTGATTGTTTTCGTACGTTTTTTGATATAATTAGGATCTGTGTGATCTCAAAGTAGGCATTTTTGTTTGTGCATTATTTTTTTGGACATGCAATGTGTTTTTCAGACCCCACATAATGGACCAACAGGGCACATCATCGCACAACATGTTTTTTTTTCTGCGTTGCCTCGTCTTGTGGTCTTGTCTTGGAACTTTGCTCACCCAAAGCAATGTTCTGATTTTATCTAATTTTGGCATCTTGCCAAGGGTTGGCATGTTGCCAACTTTCACTATCTTTCCCTGATCTGCTCCAAGCTTTTCATGGAACACAGCATCAGCAAGGCGATGGCTCTAACTCTGCAGGTTCTCTTCGCAGCTCTTTGATAGAAAGAATAGAAACGAATCCTGAAAAAAAAATGTATGAAATTATAGACGGCTATTCATTGTTATTCATGGCCAAGGCACCTCGCCACGACGCGCGAGTTATACCATTCAAACATGACAAAATGTAAGTACAATTCAACATATATAATATGACAAAATATTGCATCATTTCAAAACATGCAAGAAAAACAATGTAGAGCTCAAAAACAGGGCATAGGCTCACAACAGAGGGTCTAGGTTGGTCTTACTTGGAGGTTGAACCATTCTTTCAACAGCTGATGATGCAAAATACCATTTCAGACCCCCAATGAAACAAAAAAACTGAATTCCACAGCTCAACCCCTGGCATTTTCTGTTGGGATTTTCAACCTGTTGGGACAAAAACACATTAACAAAAAGGGTCGTATTTCAAGATTCACACACCATTCAATTGGACATCATTTCAAAATATGCAAGAAAAACAATGTAGAGCTCACAAATAGGGTATAGGCTCACAATAGAGGGTCTAGGTTGGTCTTACTTGGAGGTTGAACCATTCTTTCAACAGCTGATGATGCAAAATACCATTTCAGACCCCCAATGAAACAAAAAAAACTGAATTCCACAGCTCAACCCCTGGCATTTTCTGTTAGGACTTTCAACCTGTTGGGACAAAAACACATTAACAAAAAGGGACGTATTTCAAGATTCACACACCATTCAATTGGACATCATTTCAAAATATGCAAGAAAAACCATGTAGAGCTCACAAACAAGGCATAGGCTCGCAACAGAGGGTCTAGGTTGGTCTTACTTAGAGGTTGAACCATTCTTTCAACAGCTGATGATGCAAAATACCATTTCAGACCCCCAATGAAACAAAAAAAACTGAATTCCACAGCTCAACCCCTGGCATTTTCTGTTGGGACTTTCAACCTGTTGGGACAAAAACACATTAACAAAAAGGGTCGTATTTCAAGATTCACACACCATTCAATTGGACATCATTTCAAAATATGCAAGAAAAACCATGTAGAGCTCACAAATAGGGTATAGGCTCACAATAGAGGGTCTAGGTTGGTCTTACTTGGAGGTTGAACCATTATTTCAACAGCTGATGATGCAAAATACCATTTCAGACCCCCAATGAAACAAAAAAAACGAATTCCACAGCTCAACCCCTGGCATTTTCTGTTGGGATTTTCAACCTGTTGGGACAAAAACACATTAACAAAAAGGGTCGTATTTCAAGATTCACACACCATTCAATTGGACATCATTTCAAAAGATGCAAGAAAAACCATGTAGAGCTCACAAATAGGGTATAGGCTCACAATAGAGGGTCTAGGTTGGTCTTACTTGGAGGTTGAACCATGCTTTCAACAGCTGATGATGCAAAATACCATTTCAGACCCCCAATGAAACAAAAAAAACTGAATTCCACAGCTCAACCCCTGGCATTTTCTGTTGGGACTTTCAACCTGTTGGGACAAAAACACATTAACAAAAAGGGTCGTATTTCAAGATTCACACACCATTCAATTGGACATCATTTCAAAATATGCAAGAAAAACCATGTAGAGCTCACAAATAGGGTATAGGCTCACAATAGAGGGTCTAGGTTGGTCTTACTTGGAGGTTGAACCATTCTTTCAACAGCTGATGATGCAAAATACCATTTCAGACCCCCAATGAAACAAAAAAACTGAATTCCACAGCTCAACCCCTGGCATTTTCTGTTGGGATTTTCAACCTGTTGGGACAAAAACACATTAACAAAAAGGGTCGTATTTCAAGATTCACACACCATTCAATTGGACATCATTTCAAAATATGCAAGAAAAACCATGTAGAGCTCACAAATAAGGTATAGGCTCACAATAGAGGGTCTAGGTTGGTCTTACTTGGGGGTTAAACCATTCTTTCAACAGCTGATGATGCAAAATACCATTTCAGACCCCCAATGAAACAAAAAAAACTGAATTCCACAGCTCAACCCCTGGCATTTTCTGTTGGGACTTTCAACCTGTTGGAACAAAAACACATTAACAAAAAGGGACGTATTTCAAGATTCACACACCATTCAATTGGACATCATTTCAAAATATGCAAGAAAAACCATGTAGAGCTCACAAATAAGGCATAGGCTCACAATAGAGGGTCTAGGTTGGTCTTACTTGGGGGTTAAACCATTCTTTCAACAGCTGATGATGCAAAATACCATTTCAGACCCCCAATGAAACAAAAAAAACTGAATTCCACAGCTCAACCCCTGGCATTTTCTGTTAGGACTTTCAACCTGCTGGGACAAAAACACATTAACAAAAAGGGTCGTATTTCAAGATTCACACACCATTCAATTGGACATCATTTCAAAATATGCAAGAAAAACCATGTAGAGCTCACAAACAAGGCATAGGCTCGCAACAGAGGGTCTAGGTTGGTCTTACTTGGAGGTTGAACCATTCTTTCAACAGCTGATGATGCAAAATACCATTTCAGACCCCCAATGAAACAAAAAAAACTGAATTCCACAGCTCAACCCCTGGCATTTTCTGTTGGGACTTTCAACCTGTTGGGGCAAAAAAACAGTAACAAAAAGGGTCGTATTTCAAGATTCACACTCCATTCAATTGGACATCATTTCAAAATATGCAAGAAAAACCATGTAGAGCTCGCAAACAAGGCATAGGCTCGCAACAGAGGGTCTAGGTTGGTCGTACTTGGAGGTTGAACCATTCTTTCAACAGCTGATGATGCAAAATACCATTTCAGACCCCCAATGAAACAAAAAAAATGAATTCCACAGCTCAACCCCTGGCATTTTCTGTTGGGACTTTCAACCTGTGGGACATTGGTCAAATTTGGAATTTGCACCTTTGGGGTCTAAGATTGGTTGTCCCAGAAAGGGGGTCTGACATTGTAAGGTCACTGAAAACAAATCGATCACCAAACATGGGGTCTGAAATCTTTTCGGGCCCGTTTTTTTTGGGGGGTCTATTCTTAACCTACCCGAACTTGACATCACTTGTCAGCATCATGATAACCCTGTTCCACATGATCCTAGACCCCTATTTGGAATACCCAGGGGGGGGTCTAGGATCATGGTCTAAAAGTTACGGTTTTACTGGGAGCACACAATTTCAGACCCTTGGATTTTGGGGTCTATTATGAAAAACCAACCCCCCCCTGGCAGTAGTTGGGGGTATGATGCTTCGGGGTGCGATGACGTTTGAAACGTTTGTGTGATTCTATAATTGAACATAATTGAACTGATTATATATGTATATATCATATTATATCTATATGCTTCAGCTGTCGGGACAGTTTGGCCAGGCTGCCTGATCAACCTGTGCTGGCACACTTTGCATCCCTCGAGATTGCAACCGATCTACTTGGGGCAGCATCTTTGGACTTGCACACGGCTATGCGGCCCTACGACTCTCTGAGTGGTGGAGAACAGGCCATGCTTAGGGGAGGGCCATGAGAGGGGTGATGTTGAAACCTGCCATTGCAAGTCTTTTCCAGTATGCATTCATCATGCATCCCTTCCAAACTTTTGTACATATTTGTTTTGCATTTCTCTTCACATCACCTAGGTTTTGACATGTTAAATTTCCACTGTTTCCACCATTCCAACAAATATTCCAACCTTGCCTCCTTGCCCTGGGGAGACGAGGCTCGCGCACACATGGCCCGCGTCCTAGCCATAGAAACATCATCGGTGCTCATCCTGGATGAGTTCACGTCCATGGTGGACCGGCCAACGGCAAAACGCATGGCCAAAGGCCTGCAGAAGTTGGTGAAGCAGGGGACGCACGGCAGCATCACGGCAGCCGTTATATAAAATATTGCGTACATATAATAAAAGAGAGAGAGAGATAATCAAAGTCCCCCACTTCCTGAAAATTATGCATTTTAATTAATGTCAACCTCCGATTAAGAAACCGCGTTGGTTCATGAGGAGGGGTGAACACCCCCAAGAATATCCAAAATAGACCAATGAAATTACACCCTCTCTTTCTGTAAACTGGAGATTTATCGAGCATTCGAGCCAGGGTTACACAACGTTATATTACTGCATGTGTCTATGCCCATGTATGCATTTGTTTGTTTGCTTGTTTGTTAGCACAACTGCATGTGAGGAATCCGATCTTATGTCATCATGATGTAGCCACTGGCGTAGTCAGCCTAACCCGCTCACAAGTAGAATACATGCATGTAGGGCAATCTACTAATTGCATGCTTGTGATCCCTTCTCATTGATACATTAATTGTAATAGTTGAGAGTTTGACGATAATTTATGCACATCATACCTGTATACACAGGTGACAACACGCTTGCTGCCATGGTGAGTATGTCTATATATATTGTATATGGTTGTGTGGGCATCGATAGGATTAGTAGTGATTAGTTCATCATTGCATATCGATTATTACTCAGCAGCATTCGATCATGAATGTGTTGTAGGTTGCGCGGCACGTCTAGTTTGCACGTCTGTTTTCGAATTCTCGATTGGTTGCTTCGCCTATGAGGATACTCACTACAAAGATTGTCGTGGTCTCTTGTCACTCGGACTTTGTTGGACGGCTCCTTGACTTGCAAATTGGCACGGCTCTTGAACAAAACGAACAAAGACGTGACAAAACGATACAAAACGAGGATTTGATTCTATGTGATTTAATAGTGTGAATGCATGATATGCAAGCACGTTTGGAAACACGCCGTTCCCATCCTTTCCCCATTCCTGTGTCTTCGGTTGTCAGGGATGAAACCTCAGGTCTCTTCTTGAACCCGACTGGCTCTTCGAGACGAATAATCACCGCAGTGATCTCAGATGTGCTGACGTTCCAATCACTGCTGAAAAATCATGAACGGGCTACCACTGAGTTACTACTGAGGTCGTTTATGGATATTTATGGTTAACTTGAATTAAGTTCTTCTGCTTCGTGAGGTCTTATCCATTTCGAAGGCGCTGATCTCTCAAAAGCTCAAAAAGAGAAAGTGGAGCCACTTGAGCGGAAGTTGCAGGACATGAGCCCGAATTGAGAGTGAGAAGGATTGCTTTTCTGTCCTGGGTTGCCTTTGGTCAAACAAAATGGTGTTGTTCAATTTATGCGTGTCCGTGAGTCCGCGGGCCCGTGCTGGTCTGCGAGTCCGTTGGGCCTTGATTGGCCTTTGGCTCGCTAATGGCAGACCGGAGTGCATGAGCAGATATGGGCAGATTTTTGTGGACGCACTCGGGGATTGAAGACATTACTGTAATTTCATCAAATATACAGCCACCCACACAGATTGCCAGCCCTGCAAGAGTTACCAGCATGGAGAGGAATCCTTGGCAGGGAGATCTTGGCACAGGTTTCGAAAGAAAGCGTGCAGGTTGATCAAATGATTTAGGTTAATCGGTTAATCCCTATCGACCAGGAGGCCACAGAGAATGCCATCAAGGCAGAAAAGGAAGTTGAGGCTTTCAAAGGTCACATGCTCAAGCATGCAGGCAGTGGAGCCCTCACAGCAGAATTACTTGCACATTTTAAATCAACTCATTGAACTTTATTAATATTAAATGCCATCTAATGCCCACCCGGCCAAGAATGACAAGGATCTGTGAATGGTTTGTGCTAGATTACTAGATTCCTCAGTCAGTCTATCATTTTTCAATCTTTGCTTATCCTCGCGCGGCACTGCCGCAAGAACCTTCGCAGGAAAGTTCTTTGAGTTGATTGATGCCTTGGCAGGTCATTCTTTTTTCACGCCAGTCTACCGGAACGAAGTCGCAGCATTTGCTGGTGCATTGCAGGTGGAGATGATGGGAGGGTTTGAATCTGCCCATTTCCTCGTTTTTTAGTTAAAGGGGTTCTCCCCCAGCTAAAGAACAGCGTTCTCTGCAGGTCCTGAGCAGTCAAGAACTTGCAGCACAGAAGCGTGAAGTTGAAAAACTGGAAAGTGAGCTGACGCAGCTGCGGATAGAGGTCACGAAGATTCAGGACATGTTTCAGCATGTTTCAGCACCGACGGCATTGTAAGTCTCGACCTGCTCTTCTCATGTTGTTTTTTCTGGTCCTTCCAACTGATGCCATCAGGAGCCGGAGGAGACAGATGACGAGGCCGTGGAAGTGGCACCTTCTTCGTCCATTCCGTTGGCACTCAGAATTCCTGATGCTGGGCTGCAGTGCTCCCTTGAGTAGAGTCTGATGTCACGGATAGCTTGCAAGCTCTGTCATGATCTTACCCACATGATCCCCTTATACCCCCCTTTGCCGTGGATTGAACAATTTTTAAATATCCATGCGTCCAAATCTTTCGAACCGAAGAAGGGTCTATAACGGTTATGCGGCAACCACAATATAGGATTGCAGGAGCAGCTGGGACAAAAATACACTTGGAAAGTACCTGACAGGGTGAACCAGGCGTTGCACCATTTACATCCATTTACAGTTCTGAAACGGACTTCAAATGTAGTATCTGTTCTTATCAGTGCGACCATTGATTAGGCAGTGCATTTACCGATGTATCCTGAGGCTTTTTGTGTCAAGGAAAATAAGGGCGAGTGTCCTCAAGAGGGTTATGAGCCCAACCCATAGGTGACCCTGCGCACTTCTAGGGAAGCCATGGAGCGGGCATCTTCAGAACCACCAAAAGAAGGTGGAGTAGCATCTGGGAATCCCTTTTACTCCAGGAAGGTTCAATTAGCATGTGAGGTTGAGTCCCTACGACCCAAAGGTTTGCCAGAACATTCCCCGGGTTCCGACTTTCAGCCGCTCAGCAACGACCGTGCAGCCACTGGGCAGTGTGTGGGGAAGGGTCGTGGAGGGCAGACGTCGGGCAGAACAACAACATGCTTTTTGACTCCGCCGAGCAAGCCGCTTGGAAGTGATCGGGAAACTGGAGTGCGAAGGTCTGAAGGTAGAATGCCCGAAGAAGTAGAAGCCAAACAAACAATGGGTAAACTGAAAACTGGTGATGATGCGAAGTTTTCTGATCCTGAAAGTTTACAGCGGGCCTTAGAGATTGAGGTGGTCTCACAGCTGAGGGAGCAAAATGCACGACTGATGGAGGAGTTAGAAACCTATAGACAGTTGAAGCATACCCCAAAGTCTGGTGATGGGTCTTCTCAATCCTGGGTTGAAATTCGAGATGTGCAGAGTGGTGATGGAATAGATGGCCAGGGTTGCAAAACACCTCGGAACACTGTCAATGTGGGGAATGCGGCGAGATATACCCCAAATGGCACCCAAGTTCCAACTGGCACACCACCGACATCCACCGACAGATGAGCGTCCGGAGCCTCCTGCACATGTGTCTGTACCTCCAGTGCCGCCGTTTCCAACTGGGGTGCCTGAAGATGCAACAAAGTTTTTGGATGGGTATGAATCTTTTCATCAAATTTCAAAGATGAGGGTCGTGGATCAGCAGTAGAAACCTGGTTGTGAGGGTCCGAAAGAACCAACACCAAGTGAAGCTAGGACACTGTGGCTGGAAAGAGAAGTTCAGGCTTTGCGGAACACCCTAGCATCAGTGTCTCATGGGAATTCCTTCCAAAAATCTGAGTATTGGAATGGTGGTTTTCAGCGTAGTGATGCAGGGGTCCAGCCTTCATCCAAACCTGGGGTCAGTCAACATGTCACCTGGAGTACGGGGGATGTTCCAGCAGATCTGGGACGGGTTGACCCTGACCGGGCTGAAGCGATCAGCAGAGCGTTCCCTGGTGATGTATGCCATCAAGGTCGGGCTGGCAGTTCTGGCAGTGTGCAACATAAAGATTGCGAAGGTCACTTGCTTGGTGGAAGTGGTGATGTATGTGCACAAGCTCGGGCTTTGGGCACGCCGTCTCTTCATCAAGGTGTATGCCAAGACGGTCGGGCTCTGAGCAATGCACAACTTCCTCAAGGTGTATGCCAAGACGGTCGGGCTTTGAGCACTTCGCATCTACGTCCAGGTGTATGCCACGACGATCGGGCTTTGGGCACGGTGCAACTTCATCCAAGTGTATGCCATGACGATCGGGCATCTGGTGCAGCGTATCCACATCATCAAGATCCACATCGCTCTTGCCAAGACCTACGGCCTCACGGAGGAGGAGGTTTCGGAGGTGGAGTGGAGTCGATTCCAACGTCATGGGAATCAGGAGGAATCGGCAGCTCGACAAAAGCTGACCTCCCAGAGTTGCCGTGCAATGCAAGTCCTCTGCAGTTTGGTGACTGGATCCATCTTTGCGGACCGGTCATGAGGGATCTGTCCTCTGTGGCGAGCAGATGGTGGGATCTGACGGTCAGACAGGCACAGACCCACTACGCTGACTGGAAACATGTGCTACGCCATTGCAGAGGGTTCAGATAGACCCAAAAATCCCGGAGGAGCTCAACGATCGGTGCTATGGCAGAACGGAGCAACGAGGAGTTCATCTACTTCTCAAGTCAGTGTCTTCAGAGATCCAACAGATGCTGGTGACGGACAGGCAGTTGACCAGCACGGCAATCCTCTACAGGCTCTACGTCAGGTACCAGCCAGGGGGACCTGGGGAGAAGTCACTGATTTTGAAGGAGCTGACGCAGTTGCCGAAGACTCAGACGATGTCGGAGCTGGCAACAGCCTTGCGGAGCTGGCGGAGGCATTTTGGCCGAGCACGAGAAGTTGGGGCCAGTCTTCCTGATGGAACTCTTCTTTTACGAGCACTGGAGACTGGAGTTCAACTGGTGGCCAAGGAGAACAGCCAGGCAGCATTTCGTCTTGCACAAAGCAGATCAGCGCTTCAAGTAGATGAGCAACCACAACCATCTACGATCTGGGATTTTTCTCAGTGTTTGCTGGCAGAGGCGGAGACTATGGTGTTGATGACATCTTCAACGACAGCATCTACGGAGGCCACACCATTGAAGTTGAAGGTCATGGAGACTGGGGACAATGTGGTGGGCAAGAAATCTGCTATGGAGGCAGGTGCAACGGGCAAAGGCCGTGGTGGAGCAATAGAAGCCCCATGTCGGTGGTTCAAAACCGACGCCGGCTGTCGTGCCGGAAAACAATGCAAATGGCAGCACAGCTGGGAGGGCATCACCGACAAAAATGCAAGGTGTTGGAACTGCGGCTCAAAGGCCCACAGAAAGCAGGATTGCCCTGTGAAAGGAGGTGGATCAAGACCCAAGGACGAAACCAAGGTTTCGGGGGGAGGATTGGCATCTTCTTCAAGTGCAACACCTGCCACACCAACTTCAAAACCATCACCAACTGTGACTCCTATCAAGCCCAAGGTGAACGAGATGTCAAATGCCACTACATCCACGACATCTACGACGGCATCACCAGGAGAGTTGAAGTCTGGCAATCCTGGAAGTGAAGGTGATGACACCGCAAAGAGCCTTGGAGATGGAGGAACGGGAGGTGAGCAAGCAGTGAAGAACGAAAAAACGGCTGAGCTTCTTCATGAAGCGACACAGCTGTTAAAGACTCTTCGTATCCCGCCGAAGCTCAATGTGATGCGGATTAGTGAGCTGGATCGTGGACGACAAGATCTAGTTTTGGTGGACTCTGGTGCAACTCATGCTTTGAGGCCGGCCAGAGACGATGGTGAATGGGGCAATGGACAACCAACCACTGTGATGCTGGCTGAGGGGTCAACCAACAGATTCCGCCTCAAGCCGGGTACCAGGATCCTCTTGTCAGAACCTGGAGCTGTGCAGGCATGGATTGTGCCAATGGGTGGTCTAGCTGACTTGGACTTCACCATGCAGTGGTCTGGCAATCAATGTCAACTACGAGATGACGAAGGCCGCGAGATCGAGGTGCTGGTTCAGCATGGATGTCCAATGATCTCATTGGCTGACGGACAGCGTGTCCTGGAGTGGCTGGAACTTTTTCAAGTACATCAACAACGAAAGATGGCCATGGTAAAAACTTTCATCAAAAACCCTGAAGATCTGAATCCTATGAAGTTGGATCTGGAGTTGGCCATGACGGTGAAACTGCAACAGCTGTTTCCAGGTGTCCCTGAGGAGATCATGATGAAGTTGGTGCCACGTTTAGAGGCTGTGAAGTCTGAGATGTTTGGAAGTATGCTGCCATGGAACAGGCACAAGCGAAGAAGGCTTCAAAAAGCAAAGCATGTGGTGCTACATGTTTTCTCAGGTGACAATCCACAGTACTGGGAGCGACAGCTGAGCACAGCCAACACCGAAGTTCTTTGCGTCGATCTTCAAGGTGGGTGCCATGCCAATTTGCTGGACAAGCATGTGTATGGGTTCTTGCTGACGATTGCGGCATCTGGCAAACTGCGAGCTCTACTTGGTGGCCCTCCGTGTCGTACAGTGTCAGCTTTGAGAAGCCAAGGAGATGGGGGACAAGGGGAGCTGAGAACTGAAGAGCATCCTTACGGATTCCCAACGTTGTCAATGGCCGACATGGAGAAGGTTCAGAATGACAGCATCCTCTTCTTCAGGTTCTTGTCGCTGTATGCGGTGGCCAAAGAGGTGCAGTTGCCAAGTGACCCAAGTCCGCAGTTGATCTTGGAGCAGCCCAGAGACCCAAAAGAGTACAGACCTCCAGAAGATCTGAACCGCAACAACTACATGTCGATGTTTCGAACAGCTGCCTGGAAGCGATTCGCAGAGGTGTTTGAGCTCTACAAGATCGACTTTGATCAGGGCCCCATGGGACATGAACGGAGAAAGCCAACTACGCTCTTCACCACGATGGAAGTGCTGTTGCAGTTGGATGGAATCCATGGAGCTCCAGAACACCCACCACAAGATTTGCGAGATCAACCTCTACAAAAGCGAATGGAAGCTTCAAAGAGATGGGCGGCATGGGCGCCAGGCTTGAAACAGGCATTGGTGGTAGCCATTCGACAACATCTACAAGAACTGGAATATGAAAGAGCGGCACAAGATCAAGGTGCGGAACGCTCTGATCAAAGGGCCAGACATGCTTCAGTACAACCACTGCAAGAAGGCCCAGGACAATCAAATAATCAAATTTCAGTGCAATCTCTGGAGCCTGATTCAATACAACAACAAGATGAAACAATGGAAGTGAATCAAAGAGGATATCAAGCTCAACGGCCAGAAGGATCTCAGCGTCCACCAATGGCAAAGGCACTGGGACCTGTAGCCCTTGAACAATGGAAAAGGCATTTCCTCAATGACCATCTTCCGGCAAAGAGAGATTGTTCTCACTGTGTCCGTGCGCAGGGGAGAAGCAAGCCACATCGACGTATCCAACATCCTGCTGCATACACTTTGAGCGTTGACCTCTCAGGGCGCATGACTCCAGGGGATGACCAGCAAATGAAGGCCTGCAAATACCTTCTGGTAGGATGTTACACCTACCCGGTCACCCGGGACGGTCGCTCTTTGGTGCAGGTGCCTGGTAAACCCGATGAGGACGCTGATGTACCTCTACCAGGACCTGATGCAGAGATGTCGGATGCAGAAGAACCACAAGATCTACCTGAAGATGTTCTTCTTGAAGAAGAAGATGTGGAGACGGAAGCTGTGGAATCACCGGCAACAAGAAGGGCAAAGTCGATGAACGAAACATGGAAGAAGCTCATCGAGCAGGCCGAGAATGTGACAGTTCGTCAACTGACCTTTGTGGAGCCTGTGAAAAGCCGGTCGGTGAAACATCTTCTTCCTGCACTTTCCAAAGTACATGCCCGCATCCGAGCAATGGGATTGCCAATCTACCGCATCCACTCAGACAGGGCACGAGAATTTTCTTCAGCAGAAATGCAGAGCTGGGCACTAGATCGCAACATTTTGACGACGATGACTTCAGGAAGCTCCTACAAGGCCAATGGACGTGTTGAGGCTGAGATGGGTATGGTGAAAAAATCCATCAGAACCTTGATCACTGCAGGAGTTTGCACTCTTTCTCAATGGCGTTTAGCTGCTCGTCACATTGGTGAACGTCGGTTGCGAAGCCAGCTCAATCTTCTGGGGTGGCCAGTTGGTCGCTTGCTGCGCTTTGGTGCCAAAGCCTATGCACTGAGGAAATCATGGCAATCCAGATATGCTCCATGGCGTGAGGTGCGAGAACCAGTGATCATTTTGGGTCCTGACGCACATGCCTCACTGACCAATACGGGCTACTTCGTCAAGTCAGTTGACACTGGACGATGTTTCTACACTGATGACATCGTGGTGCCTGAAGTTCAACAACCAGCAGTGGAAGATCAGGTGCTCTATCTTCCAGAACGTCTTGACGATGCTCCACAACGACGTCACAGGACAAAAGCTCCGCTGCCAGCAATTTCAATGTTGGACATTGAGGGGGAGGAGAAGATTGTGGATCGATTCCCTGAAATGTTTGAACCAACAACACCTTCACATCATGGGGGCTCAAGTGATAGCTGGTCAATGTGTACTGTCACATCTTCGCATGAAAGCAGCTGGACTCCAAAATCAATTGAGGTTGAGGAGGAGGGCTGGTGGATCGGAGGTGGGGATGAGGAGGGGGCGCCTAATAGTCAGGATGGTGGCTCACGCCTGACAGCCTCAAACAACGCAAGCATGACCAATCCAGCTGCACTGAGAGCCTTGCACGTCAACTTGACGCACTATGTCGAGGACGAGATGGCGGTGTTGGATGGGACAGCTGCTGAACAATCTTTGTGGCTTGGCAATGTGACAGAAGCCATCAAGATGAAAGCCATGATTGAAGAGCAGCTGACAGAAGCGCAAGCACATGGTGCTGGCGAAATCCAAAAGAAGTTGGAGCAGGAGTTCCTGGTGACGAAGACGATCGGCAATGCTGAAGTTTGGGCTGATCTGAATGCGTGGAGTGACTCAATACGTCAAGAATATGACCAACTTGTCAACAAGAAACAGGCCGTCAGGCAGATCACAAAAGCGCAGTTGCAACAAATGGCAAGTGAAATGAAGCTGCCAATTGAGATACTTCCTGGCAAGATGGTCCACACACGGAAGTCAGGCAGCGGTGCCTACAGAAGTCGCGCTGTGATCTGTGGCAACCATGCTGGGCCTGACAACAACGAGCGCTACGCTGGAGGTGTTGATGGACAACAAGTACGGGCGATGGTGCGACTTGGGGCCTTGAAGCAGTGGCAGATTATAAGAACAGCGTTCTTGAACGCGCCAAGGCGTGACACCAAACGCCTGATCGCGATGGAAATTCCATCGGTGTTCCGGAAGCTTCAATTGGCAGGACATCAAGACCTATGGTTGGTCGACAAAGCTCTATATGGGCTTACCACATCGCCCAGAGACTGGGGACTCCATCGTGATGAAGTTCTTCCTACTGTCAGTTGGTGCCGGCAACGAGAAGGTCGTGAGGTGCGGGGATCCTTCAAGAAGACATCAGATGAGAACATCTGGAGGATCGAAGAGGTCGATAAGATCTCGGGGGAGGTGCACTGGACCGGCCTGATGTCAGTGTACGTTGATGATCTTCTTTTTGCAGCTGAAAGTGGAGCTCTTGATGCTTTGACAACAGCGGTTGAAAAAGTTTGGGCCATCTCTGACTTGGAGAAGACGGGGGAGGGCAAGATCGTCAAGTACTGCGGCTTTGAGATTGAAGCTGCACCCAACAATGATGGTTACGTGATCAGCCAAAAGAAGTATGAGCAAGAGATGGTGAAGCGCTTTGGCATCACCCAGGCGACGGACTTTCCACATGTCAATCTTTCAGAAGATGATGAAGTTCCAAGTGGAGAGATCAAAGAGTCTGAGGTGAAGCTTGCGCAATCAATGGCAGGTGCCCTACTTTCGCTGACAACCAGAACAAGACCTGACATAGCCATGACGGTCTCCTCAGCCTGCAGACTTGCTACGAAAAATCCATGCAAGTCGGTGGAAATCTCCAAGGCGGTGATGCAGTATGTGCTCAAAGTTCAAGGTGGGCTACACTATCCTCAGGGTGTCCCAAAAGAAACATGGGGCAAGAGGGGACAGCTGCACATTGAGCGACATGATCGCCTACTTGAAGTTTTTGCAGATATCGCCTATGGCACTGGCAGTCGCCATCGAAGTCTTCAGGGCCTGGCAGTATACTTTGCTGGAGCTCCGATCAGTTGGGTGTCGTCGCAGCAGCCATTTGTGACGTATAGCACGGCAGAAGCAGAACTGGTCAGTTACTGCGAAGCTCTTTGTGCAGGTCGTGCCACTGAAGCCTTGATCTGCTCGATGCTCAAGGAGCCAGTTGGCCAGAACTCCTTGGAACGCGTCATTTACGGCGACAACATGGCCGCAATTTCAATGGCACATGGAACTGGAAATGCCACGTGGCGAACAAGGCACTTGCGAGTGAGATCTTCTTTCCTCAAGGAGGCCTTGGATGGTGTGGCCCCAGATGGTGCTTGGAAGCTGCTACATCTTCGTGGCACGGAGTTGGTGGCGGACGGGCTGACTAAGCCATTAGCCGGTCAGGCTTTCTTCAAGTTTGTGGATGATTTGGGCTTTGCTGGAGCGAGAGCAGAGAACTCCAACGAGGAGCCCATGGAACATGCAACAGGTGGCGGAGGAAACTATGCAGTGATCAGAGCTATGGCTCTTGGAAGCGTGCTCTTATCAACAGCTGAGGGTGCGTCTGATGAGAATGATGCTGGCGAAGATTTTTCTTTGATTTGGACGACTGGGCTTCTTTTGGTGGCTATGGGGGCAGTCTATGCAGGGCAACTTTTTCATAGTGCTACGAAGTGTTGCCTGAAGAGACTGCGAGAGTCCAAGGAGTCGGGTCATAGACCAAGTCTGAGGAGGTTGTCAGCGGAGTTGTCTGAAGAAGAAGACATCATGATGGTGTCAGAAGAGACCAAAAAGAAGAACAGAAAAAATGGTGGCAAGGCAGCGGGAGTGATGTCGCGAAGTCGAGATCAAATTCAAGGAGCTGCTGGATCATCATCAAGGCCGATGACATCATCGACCCCTGAGCAGGGTCCTTCTACATCACGACATTGCTCTATGTCCATGAGTTTAAGGCAACGGTCGGGCACAGCTGAGCGAGCAGCGAGCGCTGCGGCTTCTTCGGCAGCTGGCGCGGCAGCTTCACCTGCGGCTTGTGCGGCGGCTTCATTAGCAGCTGCGTCTTCGGCGCTGGGCGATGCTGCTGTGGTGATGGAAGCTTCAGCTGCTGCAGCTGAGCGTAGTGTTGCTGGCGAAGTCAGCAAAGACATAGTGAATCCATGGAATCGTTTCCAACATGAGAACCGGCGAAAGGGCTGGTCACCATCTGTGATGGCTGAGATGTATCGAATCAGCCATAAATCAGGCAACACAAAGCCTTGAGCCTGCAACTTTTGAGTTTGCCGATACGGCAAAGGGGGAGTCTGAAACGGACTTCAAATGTAGTATCTGTTCTTATCAGTGCGACCATTGATTAGGCAGTGCATTTACCGATGTATCCTGAGGCTTTTTGTGTCAAGGAAAATAAGGGCGAGTGTCCTCAAGAGACAGTAATTGTCATGTTTAATTATCCAAAATATTATTCATGTGTTTTCTTCATTCATGCAGCAATATTGATGTATATAAATATAACAGTATTATGTTTTAAGGGGGCCAGTATTCATCGAAACCCGCAACTGTGTTCTGCCTTGAGGAAATTCAGCTCCGGGTGCGACGTGCGCTGCCACGGGAGTGGGTCCATTTCAGAGAGCACCACTACAAGGACAACTCTTCGTTGCGTTTTTGATATATTGCATGTGCAGTTTACGGGGGCATACAGCAAGAGAAGTAAAAGCCAAACGATTACTTGCAGATCTTGCAGACCACGGTCCTGGAACCCAACGTGAATGGATTATGAAACAGATGCAGACTAATGCACAAATATGCACAATATTCCTCGCCAACAGGCCTGAAGGCATTTTCAAGGCAAAACATGTTATGTGGATGTTTGTGTGTGCTCGACAGATCTCGACAGGACAAGTCCTTGGGAAACAACTCGGTGGTATTCGTTGGCGAAGTGGGCGGTGGCAGGGCCTGCTGCTTCTCTGCCTTCATGCCCGAGTCAGCCAACTGGATCCAGAAAGCTGTCAAGAAAGGCAGGGTATGGCAACGGTTGGTGCTTCGATGCTTAAAGCCTGTTTAACATGTCTAACGCAATGCGTTCAATTCTGACAAGAACGTGTGATGTCCAACATGTTCCAACTTTGTGTCGTTTGCATCAAAGGCCAGTGAGTTTGCCTACAATATATATATAAACAATGATCATACTTAATTGATTAATTAACTATATATAGAAAATTAAATATACATATTATATACAGTATATGTTTATTAATCACAACATACATGCACATACTGGTAGTTGAGAATAGTTGAATAATGCCGAATATGGATATTATCCCTTCATAGTACTTTGAAGCATGCCATAGCGCCAAGCTCCCAGAACTGCCTTCCTCAATGCTTAAAAGCGGTCAAAACTTGGAAACCTGTCCACGTCTGGATGACAGGCCTTCCCGGCTGGGAAAAGGCGGGCACGTTTTTTCAGCATTGCATCAGGTGCTTCCTTGCACCTTTTGCTCTGCCTTTTGGTGCTTCCATGTCAGCACTGCTGCAGTATAATCTAGTGCAGTTCAGAGACTGCTCAGTAAATATGACAGATTCAGAAAAATCAAAAAAAAACATGAAATTTAATTTCTCTTTCTCCAGATCCGAACCGGTCTAAAACATGGAGGATGTTGTGAGCCTTGACAGGTTGACTACCCAAGACCCTGGCTGGACCAGAGTCACCGTCGACTTTTCCGAGAGCATCGGACAGTTGTCCTTCCGGATTTTCAGGGCATGGGCCACTAGACGGCAGGAAATATAGGAAATTCTGAAACGGCATGATTCGTCACGATGCACAATCATTATGATTTGTTCATAGTACATACAACCGTTAGCCGTTAGCAATTATGTCCTCTGTTTCAATGGCCAAAGGTTGCGCAGGAGGTTTGGACGAGGAAATGCTAAGCTTTTCGAGTCATCTCAAGTCTTCGGTGGAAGAACTTGCCACATTTACAGTGCATGTGTATCACTGTATCACCCTTTCCCTAAACTCCTGGCAGGCCTTGTCAGACCTCACCATTGCTGTCCAGTTTTTGTTGAACTTTCTGAGTTGCGGTTCCTCCAGAGAGTTTTCAACACGTTTATGTCCATTAAACCAAATGAACCCGGGAGGAAGGCTATCGACTCATCCTCAGCAATCAAAGATATGCTGAGGCCTTGCCACTTTGATGTGCGACTGCTTGGCAGTTGAGCTGCAGAGCATGAACTTTGATTATACGTCACAGTCCGTCCATCCCTTCTATGGATCTTACAGGTGTGGAATTAGTGTGGAATGTCAGGGGCTGTTGCTTGCCTTCTTTCAAAAGCGGTGCTTCGTGGTTATTGCACGACTTTTGGGTGGAATTTGAAAGTTACCGTGCCAATTCATTTCAAGAGCGTTAAGGAATATTAAGGATATTAAGCGTAAGGTGCAAGCTTGAGCGATGTGACATGATGTGACTATGCATATTTTGCGTCGCATCACTTGCTCCAGGGATCGCAGTCCATTTTGGCGGGCTTTGCCAACCAGCCGCAGCGAGAGCAGTGCTGAGACCTCAGCTTTCCATGACCGGCAATCCGTGAAATGCATGACACACTAGGAGCTCATAGGATAAGCACATATATACACAGATATATTATGATATTATAATATTATGATATTTATGACCCGGGTGACCGTGGCACTCGTTGACCTTCTTGTCCAGATCCTGCTCAAAACAATACTGTATCTCCTCGAAACTACCTTGTTTGGGGCACCAATGTCCGCAAACAATTATGTTTTTCTCAGAACCCTACTACTACTTCTCTCTCTCTCTCTCTTTCTTGCCATACAGATCATCATGTTTGAATGTTTTGTTTTTTGAAATCATTATGTTTGAATGTTTTTGAAGATTTTTGAAGCTTTATATTTGAAACAGGATGCATGCGCTCCATGTGCACCCAATATGAAGAATGATTCAAGAGGTTTCAGCCAGCTGAACTATCCAAGTATCACAAGCATGCCGACACACATTTTGACACTTTACTCTGAAAAAAAAACTGAACAAAGAGATTCTACAGTACTTCCACAGGACGAGGCTTGAAGCTAAAAGATTTCAATATTCCAAGTGGTTCCTTTTGATCATGCACCGCCCAACAGTTTCTGGCCATTTTCGGTGCAGCATCCAGGCGTTGAAAGGAAATCTCAAATATTCCCATGTTGGATTCTCAGCCATGGAGTATCGCCTTCAATTTTCTACAGTGACTCTAGTGACGACTGTGGCGTTTTGCTGCAGTTTTACTGGAGCTAGTTTTCCTGATTTGAAGTGTCATTCTTGTTCGGTGGGTGATGTCCGGTGAAAGACCGATTTGTAGACTGATGGCAACTGAACATGTTGAATTTGTTGAATAGTGCGCTGGAGAGTGACATTGAAAAGTGTCGGGATGTGCTTCCGATGACGTCAGGTTTTTATTGGAGCATTTCGTCCTGATGGGACTCGAGATGCAGAGCTCAACGCAAAGTTGAGGCTATGAACGTCGGGTGTTTGAGGACTAGGTGGCTAGGATTCTGGTCATTTGGGCCAGTAGGGATACATACTCAGTGATGATGGCACGTTTTCAACTTTTGGGATGTATTTGGGCTGTTTTCCCATGTTTTCCCAGGTTTTTTGTTTTATAGAATGTGGCACCACTTCGCCAAAATATGCAAAAGATATGCAAAATTAATTAAACATTATATAGTTATATATATATATATATGAAAATACTAACTAAACTTGCATTTTTTTGTGTAAGTGCAAGTAGGCCGGGGAAAAGAACATGTCCTCAGCCTCAGACTCAAGCTAACAGTTGATCCTCAGAAAACTGCACCTCGTACAAGATACCATGGAGTCTGGTTCTTTTATCTTATCAAGATATGCGAGGTCAAAGTACAATATAAATCAATATAGTCGCATAATATGTTTCCAATACTTGAAGAGGGTCAATATGGGTCAATGTATGCACTTAGACCTAGCATCCAACGCTACTGTGGCAGAAAATTGAGGCCTTTCCCCAAGCACAACATTGCATTTGACCATATATTTTACCTCAAGTCTGCCAGGCATCGAGTGAAGCTTTCAAAGAACCAAAGCTCGGTGACTTGATTTTATTAGCCTCGCCCGGTTTTCATGTTCAGTGCAATCTTTTTTTTTCAAACCATGTAACAGCTGCTGAGAAACCTGTATATACCTAGTTGCTGGCCTTGGGCCTTGGCTTGTTTTCTGACTTGAGGTGTGCGAAATTTGCGAAGTGTTGGCAAATTTGTCCTAAGGTTCTGCTCCAGAAGGACATCCCAGAGCTGTCCTAGCTCAGGCCAGATTTGAAACTTCCCTGTGCAGCGTCAAGTACTCTATGATACTGTGGAGGAAACATCATAGGATCACTTGCATCATCTTGCAACATCACTTCAAGGTCAAAATATCCATCGTTCATCTCCCTTCAACAGATTGCTATGACAATGGGATGCAATCCAGTGAGCGCACAAAGAACTCTTGAATAGCATTTATGTAACTGGGATTAACTGGGACTGGAAGTAAATGAATGTTTTCAACCCGCTCAACCCGTCAGCATTTGTGCCAGGTTCCTATCTGATTGTACTCAAGGGATGCAAGATCAAGACTGGGGTCCTCTTGCGAAGTTTGATCAAGCTGTGCGCTTGCTTAACAAAAGGTGCTTGGAATTCACTGTGTGGCAGCAGGCACTTACACAGGTACACCTGTGCCTTTGTGCATACGTTCGGTGCGTGCCACCTTAGATAGGTTGGGATGTCATCGTCACCCCCGCACCAACAACATACGCCATGCAGAACCTACGGTTCCATGCTCTTGCATATGCTGCGTGAGTTTGCTTGAAAATGGTTGGCACGAACATTGCTTCCAGCTGCTGTTGTGGCTCAGTTGCATGCAGCTAAAAAATACAGTACCAATCAATACGCAGGGTTAGCTACTGTGAGACTAGGCACGTTCAGTGTGGACTGCTTTCAATGGAGTCCATTGCGCTGAATTCAAAAAAGTGATCAACGGAACGCTTGGCAGGTGAGGGGAAGTTGTGGAAAACGCACATGACTATACATGACAATAGTTTTGATATTGTGAGAGACGCGTCTGGTCTCTGCACCTGCTTTCATTTCGTTGAGTCAATGGCTGCTCATGGTGGAGCTTATTCGACCTTGCGCAGCCGCTGGGCGGTGGTTTTGCCATTGTCGGCAAGCTGACAATGTTTAGCAGAACATTGATGCATTCTGATTTAATTGTTAAATTTATATGATAGTTTGTTAATATGTACATTTTTTCCAGGATCCGCAGATTCAATCCAAAGCGCAATGCCATGCAGTGCCACAAACCACAGGTCATCACAGGTCCAACCAGGCCCACCTGGTCATAGGACCCAGGGTAAGATTCTATGACATGTTGATCACAATGCTATCATTCAGTTCATTACCCAATGGTGCCTGTTTGTTTGTAGCCAGCATTGCCCAGTTTCGAGTACAGCGTCAACCATGGCTGTGGGGCCATGCACTCGGCAGACTGATGAAATTTTGGAAGTTTTGAGCAAACTTTTCGTTTACGCCAGAGATGTGTTCAATGAACCAAGGGGAGCGGTGGGTCTAAATGCATGAATGCCTGTCTCTTGCATTTATATTAAATAATTAATCGAAGGAAGTTTAGAAGTCAAACTTCCGACAATATGGACAGACGAAAAAGCAAAGGAAGAAGATCAGAGAAGAGAAAGAGTCAAAAGAAAGAAGATGCAGGTGCGCGAAAAGGTAGGAAAGTCGCGAATCACTGTGTTTTCCAATGATTTGTGGCTCCAGAGGGTCGAAGAGTAGGCTCGCTAAAGCGGCGGGTGCGGAGCCATTTGGCCAGATGAGAGATGAAAAATTGCAGGCGGTTGTGGTGCGAAGCACATTTCGAAGTCAAAAGTATTAAAAATTAAAAACTGACGGCCTCGGAGCACTTTTGGAAGTTGAGGTGTCGAAAAAGTGCACGCTGTTGTGGCGTGAAATCCCTACCCTCTTAAAATGAAATTTGAGGGGGGGGAGTCGTACTGAAATTTCATTTTAAAATTCCATGTTTGCATTTTTGCTCAATGATCAACATTCCTCGTCATTCCAAATCATTGTCAAGCAGATGAAAATTAAATACTTGCGCTTAGCTCCGGAGGAGCTAAGCACATGTCAGACTGAAGCAGCACATGTGTAGGGGTGGCATCCCTCCAAAAATTGCGCTGCCGTCGTCATACTTGCTTTTAGCTCCGGCGCTAAGCCCACGTATTTTCTAACCAGTGCCCAAGGCTTTTTAAGAAATGTTACTTCAAAACTCCATTTGAAGGGCTGGATCACTACCCCAGGGTTTCCAAGCAAGAAAAAGTGGAATTCGACAGGTTGGTTTTGTCCCCCCCGCCCTCCCCCTCTATAGCGGCAGGGATGCGCGAAGCACATTTCGAAGTCAAAATGTAAACGCACCATTAAGTTCAGATGTCAAAAGTGATGTCAAACACACTAAATGTTCGCGCGACTTTTGCACGTTGAAGCGTCGTTTTGTGTGGCAGGCGCAAGGGATTCTGCATTTTGTCAAAGCGGAGCAAAACGTGAGGATTTTGTAGCATTTTCAAAAACGATGGCGGGCGTGGGGCATTTGAAGGGGATCTGCAAAGGTGCATTTCGCGTGGCAGGCGCAGTACAAAAGACATGTTCATCAGAGATGTTAGGAGGTCAGGGCGCTGATTTCCTGAGAGGGGTTGCATTTTGGAGCATCAGATCTTCAGGTTTGCTAAGGTGATTTGCCTGACAGGTGCAGCACTTCGTTTGACCTGGCCACTCTTTCATGGCAGGCACAGCACTTTAGACAGATGGAGTGGACAAATCACAAAACGCATTGGTACGAGGCCGTCAGCTCTGCACTCAACTTTCCATTTTTGAAGGAAGTCTCGCAGAATTGCTGCCCTTCTGATAATGTCAAGTTCAAAAAAATTGGAAGTCTCGCAGGGTAGCTTCGTTTTCACACTTGCAGATAGGCAGATAGATAGACAGATAGACAGATAGATAAACAACTACAACTGCAACTGCAACTACACCACACTACCACTACAACACAAATACAAATACAAATGTACTACGCTACAGTACACTAACTACACTACACTACACTAATCATAGTAGACTACACTAATTACGCTACAACCAAAACTATATATAACCACAACTACAACTACAACTACAACTACACTACATTACATTGCACTACACTCATCTCATTGCACTACACTACACTACACTAGACTACAACTGCAATTGCACATGCAATTACAACTACTGTACATTACACACAATTACGCTACACTAATTACACTGCACCACACTACGCTACACTACGCTACACTACGCTACACTACGCTACACTAACTACAACTACAGCTACAACTACAACTACACTACTTTACACTACACTACACTAGACTACACTACACTAGGCTACACTACACTACACTACAGCACAGTACATGACATTATATTTCATTCCGCTACATTCATTGCACCACAACACAACTACAACATCAACCCCACTACAACTACAACTACAACTGCCCTACACCACACTACATCCAGGAGTTGTGAGTGAGGTGACCATTGCAAGCATTGCAACCACTCCAAAAAGCACAACTCCAACCACTTTTCCGTCCATCAGTGGATTGGCTCTGCCATCCATGCATCACAACAACAACTCTCCTCTCCTATAGTGTCCTATCTTTGAAACATCCGCCACCGCCTTGTGCGGCACTACTGGTATAACAAATGAACATGGATATTTCATGGGAATTAAATGTCCCCATGCATACAATATAATCTATATATACAATTATATACATATATGCTCAGACACTTGGAGCCTTTGACAACGTCGAGGTCTGATCATCCCATCTGTGGCTCTGACAGCTCTGGTTCTTTGCGACGCTTTTGGCCTGCCGCGAACTAAGTAGCTGGCTCTGACAGCTTTGAGCATTGCTGCATGTTCCCCACAAAATATCACAGCGTCGTTGGAAAAAACGTCTTGGAGTAGAACAGATTCAGCTGTGCATTAGGATCATCATTAGGCCTTCCACGGACTAAAACCATCCTTTTCCCATCTGGAGGTTCACACGCTACTCGTACACAGTGCAATGGCCTCAGCAGCTGAAATGTGGAACCATTGGTCAGCGGTGAATGGGACAGCCAACATGTCCAACATGTCATTTTAGCTGACCATGGTAACTGGCTACCAATGGCTGCATTGGAATAAGTCAGTATCACTCTGTGAGGCTGTGACTCGGTTCCCCCAGATGATGCAGCAGTCATGAACATTCATAAACCATTCAAAAACCATTGCAGTGGAAGGTCACCATCAATCAACGAGGAGGCTCTTCAGAGATTTGCTTTGCCACCTTGCGCGAATTTATTTTTATTTTGGTGTTTTCTGACCAAATGTTGTCAAATTTCTGAACAGAAAATAATGCCTTGCAAATGCTTATTACACTAAACGAAGTCCATGCACTGTATTTGATCAATCACATTTGGGATTTGGGTCCTCTTTGCTTCAACCATGTGTAACTGCTGTCCTAGACTCTAGATGCCTCAACGTGAGCCAACATGTTGTCAGGCAATCTCCCTGCCAGCAGACTATGAGTATGGAGCTTGGATGCTGTTTCATGCCTGTCCACAAAGCGTTCCAATCTACTTTGTTTCTGGAATCACGTTGTTGGATGGTTGCAGGCAGGAGAAACGCTGTGATCCCTCACCACCATTCAAATTTGCTTTCTTTGGGGGGGTTCTTGTTTTCTGAGTCAAGGTTCGCTCTATGATTTTGAAGAAGTCATGACCGAGAATCCGTATATATGTTTGTTGAAAAAGGTAAGAGGAATGAGATAACATTAAAGCAACCATTGTGTATCTCAAGAAGGACCTAGGAGTTTTCAGAAAGAAGATTGCATGTTTCGATGCGCCCAAGTAAAAGCATGCATCAAACAGCATCAATATATATATATACTTGAAAAAATGTAATCGCTGGCTGCAAGATGTTGAAGCATTGAGACGCTTATGCCAGTGGCCAAGATTTGCCAGGAGTCATGGAAGTCAGCGCTGGGGTCCAAAGTCAATGGCTTCAGCCAGTCAAAGGCGACGTTCCCAACGATACCCGCTATACTACAGTAGCATCCATTAGCCAATCATTAGGCCCCTGGATCGCCTTGGATCTTCTTGGTATGTTCCTATGGTGTTGATGGTGATTGATGGTGTTGTATTGTGGATTGGGTTGGCCGGTGGGCCCCAAATTTATGGTGGTAGAGGTAGATTTGTTGGTGAATCATGCTAGTTGATGAGGTATTTGGCCTTGTCCAACATTGCACCCGGAGATATGTGAGTTTTTGCTTCCTCGTGTTTCCCGTTCGGGAGAATCTGACTTTCTGCTGTCTTACGATGCGGAGATCAATATAGACACACCTCAACACTCATGGGAGTGGCACCTCAAACCAAAATGAAACAGAAGACAGTTGCTGAACTCAACTTTGCAAACAGTCTTGTTGGACAATCTTCTGGTCTGCCAATGGAAAAGATCTTGGAGGAATGACACTTTGTCGATTTTTATGATGCCAAGCTCCATCCTCATGTTATCGGTTACGAAAGACGCTGGCACTCAAAACTCCAGGCTGGAAGGCGCAAAGGCAACAAGCAGAAGGGCAGACATTTGGACGTCCGAGGCGTGCTTGGCCGATGTTTACAGGTTGAAAGTCACGCGATGGAACTGACATGATACCAAACTTTGGTTGGTTCCGTAGGTATACCAGAGTTTTCTTGCACACCGTTGAAGAAAAGATGTTGGAAGACTTTCATGACTTTGGCTCAAGTTGGCTTAGCAGCTGTAGCATTGATGCACTCCAGATCACTTTAGCAACACTACGATGGGCACTAAGCAGCGGAAGGCAGGGAATTTGGGGAGTTCCCGTCCACCTGAGCAGATTGCTGATGCGATCTCCTGAGTACTCTTCGTCGCGGTCGCATTTAATTTTTCGTAGTTTTTGGGGTGCCGGTGCCGGTCGTATGGTGGCATACTTAAAGCCACTTCGTCAGTTTGGTATGTCTGGAAATCGGTACGCCCCAAAGTAGCATGTTTATGCCGTTTGTGCAATTGAATATGTAGGTCAACGATGATAAGCCATCATAGACCATCAAATTCGGAGGCACCTTTTTTAGACACATCATGGCTGCGCATGTGCTGTGCAATAATGCGCATGTTTTTGGGTTGTTTCATGGGACGCCCCAGTGGATGGAGGCCAGAAGAAAGAAGCAGACTGGCTTGGCCATGAAGCGTTTAAGCGGAAACGATCCGCGACTCAAAGATGCAGCGATGCTAAGCTGCAGCCACGAGCAACATTAGCAACATGGAACTGCTGCCCAGCCAGTTTATATTATATATAATTTATATTAATTTATATGAATATGCAAGTACACATATATATATATATTATATTATATATACTATATAAATACATGTCACACACAATAGATGTGTGTCTAGTACTTCTTTCACCCATTAGGAGTCTTCAACATTTGCTGGAAAGCGAGAAGTCCAGCACTGCCGCGCCAAGGCAAGTCAAGGGAACCATTAAGACACTCGGATGCAAGACTTTTTGGACCTTTTTTGAGTTTGTTTATTTGAAGAGGTCACCACATGTCACAGTCTGTCAGTGATGCAATGAAATCGTGCCATAACTAATTGATACTAATTGTATAGACTGTACATATGCCTTGTGTGATCGATCCTGCGCTGCCTGCCGCTGGCTTCGACGTACATTCTCCAGCCGAAATTTTCGGGAAGCATCAGCACGTGAAATGGCTCAATGTGTGTTTTCTACTCTGTCTCCCCATTAGGAAAAAGAAGAAGGACGATGGCGTCCGAGAAGCGCCCAAAGCCCATTCTTCGTTGTTCTTTCAATTCAACTCCAATTTGAAGCCACCATATCAGCTGTCCTAACCTCAGTCAAACAAGGCTCAGATAGGCTCACGATGTTGTAACATGTTGCAGCCAGCAGCTTTGCTGTACTGCGCTTTGCCTGAGGTTACTAGACACCAATTTCATCAACATGTCAATCCAGATGAAGCTGGATATTTTCAAAGCATCCATGGAGTGCTTGTTGGCAAAATGCGTTCCATGCATCACCGACTGTTTCCCGGTTGCAGGGAAACGAACTGCACCGTGCCATTGTGAATTCAACTCCGCTGTCAATGTTAATTAATCATCATGGAAGAGTTTTCCACCGTTTTTTGTGGCTAAATCTTTACTCAGGTTCCAGATTGCATAAGCGGGAATGCAGGACAATGATACACGATATTTGTATGATATATGATTTGGTATATATGATATGATATGACATGTTGCAGTCCCGAGAGCTGCTACGTCACAGTTGGTCTTTGTCGCAAGGTGTGTATGGTGAGCTGGAAAGATTAGGCACTCGTCATCGCTTGGCGCTGCGCCTTGCAAAAGACCCCCGCCCCTTGCCTGCGTTGTGCTTGCTGGCAAATAGGTTTTGGATGCCCGAGTGGAGCGGGTGAGTAAGGTGATTTTGAGAGGGGGATTTAGAGGAGGCTCTGTCGAAATTGGGCTTGCAAAGTCAAGGATTGAATACTGTAATTTGATTCTAGCTGCCAACTGAAAGCTGAGGATTCCATCGGCTGACATGTCAGCACAAAGGCATTTATGCAGATGATTGCATCCACTCCAGAGTAGACGCTCACAGATGTTACATCGTTTGCACTAACGACAAAGACTTGAAGCGAAGAATCCGCAAGGCGGCCCTGACAGCGCATTGAAGATGTATGAAGTGGTCATGGAAGATGCATGTTGTCATAGAGTTTGTGGTATTGCAATTACTTGTAGTGGTATGCGTGCTTGCCAGTCTTGAAACAGGTGCCCGGTGTCCCAATTATGTCAGTGGCTCGTGGCATGTTCAAAGTTGAGCGCGTTCCAGAACAGATCGACAAAGTCCCCATCAAGCACCAACCTCAAAAACTGCAAGCTGTTTGTTGCTGCTAGTGACTGCTAGTGTGCTTTATCTTGCAATGCCACTTTCGCAGGTTAAACTTCCTGATTCGCTGTAATGTTTGCATGGGTAAGCAAGACAATTCGTGAAGACTTGTGAGGACGACCGACTGCTGTTTCTGTAGGAGATTGAGAAGTCTCTTCGCACAGATGTTCTTTAGCACGCCCAGGTCCAATTGGGGAAAGGACAAGTGAGATGGAAGAGAGACCAATGACTGGTGGGCGTGTCTGTGATTTGTGTGAAGCAAGAAGCAGGCATTGAAGCTGAGCAAAGTATGTACTTGGTGCACGAGTCAGCTACTAGTAGAGAGTTTTAGCATGGACTGCAAATGTTGAAGAATGTTGAAGACCATTGAAGACCATTGAAGACCATTGAAGACCCTTTCATGCTACAAGTGCAAGATTCCAGTTTACAGCAGCTTCTGTTGCAAGCAAGCAAGTATCAAGGCATCATCACTGTTTGTAGAAACCACCATCCTCACGCCTTCCACACGCAAAGCTTGTGGAAGATCTTCAGGTCACTTGCTGCAATCTCTAAGACAGCCTGTGATAAAAATGTCGCCAGACTTGGGATGGTGGGTCTACAGGGGTCTGTACCGGGCTGCCTTTTTTTTTTGTTTTGCCAGAGGCTAACAGGACTCCATGGATGCGGGGAAGGACACAAAGATGAGATGCGGGAATAGTGGGGATGACAGGAGGACTGGTTTAGTGAAAATGGGGGCCGCAATAATCTTTGAAGATGTGATCATCCGATGTTGTAATGATGGATGCTACTGAAGGGAACCATCAGGGCGACAGGGCCATGCTGGGCAGAGCCAAGCTGGACAGGAAGCACCAAAGCCTGCTGCGTGCAAGGCCGTGTAGTTGGATGCCGAGGGCATGCCGAGGGCTGGGCCTGTTCACGGACATTCAACAGAAAACTTGCTGGATCTTGCTGGTCAGAATGTGTGTTATGTTATGACATATTGTTAACTCCATACATATGATATCAATTGATATCATATGATTGTATAATTGTTATTAATTACACGTGCTACTGTAGACTGTAGACTTTGTGATGTGAGCTTCAAATGTCTCAACCACCTCTGCTTGAGCTGTGTGACTCAACAGATTAGTTTGTACCCTGCTTCTTGGCCAATGGGAAGCGGCTCAGCAACAGCTGCAGTGCCACGAAAGAGTTTCCGCACATCACGAATCACTCAACACATCAAATTCCTCGAGAAAGGCAGTAGTGGTGAGTAGAAGAGTGATTTCAAGGAGATTGTTTATATACAGTCATCGAATCATCTATATAGATGTGTTCGCTTTGGAAAAGAAGATCACCGACAAGCCTTCACCGCAAATGAAAAAGTGACGCAACCAGCCGTTCTTGAACACAGCACATCGCACTGGGCGACTCAGACTGGATACAGCTGCCTTCGATGAATTCAACTGCATGACAAGCTCATGGGCTGGATGACGCTGGATGAGCACATGCTATGATTATTGTGCAGTGGTGGAGGCCGCCGCAAGTTGCAGTAAGGAGTTCTGTTCCTTTGAGAGTTGCCATTGCTCCTCTCTTATCCAAAATATTGCAACATTTTCCAACCTTGACTTCCAGATACTTCTAGCATACTTTGGTTTGATGACTGCTTTCATGGTCATCCTGCCATGCCGCAGTCATTTGTGTGTCTAGGATTTGCCGCAGTCGTTGCTGCTGCCGTCGAAGGGAGCCAAGCAAAAGCGTAGATGGTCAGCAGGTGTCACAGCTGATATTTTTTTTCACATGTTGCACATCGTTGCCAGCTGTTTGTGGGATTTTCTGAAGCAGGGTCTATAAGAAAGCAGCTTTGAGCCGGATGCTTCAGTAGAACGGAACGACTTCAGAAATTGCCTACCCAAGCTAAGCAAAGCAGTCAGTTGTCGATATTTGGTGCCCGTCCAAGGTGCATGAGGCTACGAAATCAAACCAAGCGAATGCAAAGCATGCAGCACTTCAGGAGCCCTGGCACTGCGCAGTGGAATGTGGAGCAGTGCAGAAGGAATTGTATAGCATTATCATGCATTATCATTGGCATGATGGCATATAATTATATAGCACGATATAGCATGATCAATCAAACTCACAGTGATTTTTCTGATCACCACCGTTGTTCCAAGTGCTGACTCCGCCTAGTTACACCAGGAGCCACTGCTTGAAGTAGCGTTGGTGCCCGAAGGGCCGCTTGAGGCTGAAGATGCTTTCAATCTTTTTCCATGTATATTTCATATTGATATATAATTCATTTGGATTGCTGCACCTTTCGCACCCCCTTTGCACTACATCCTGAGCTGTTTCGTGTCACGTGGTGCCAATGCCTCGCTCAGAGCCTGGTCGATTCCATGAACAATGCCTGCCGCATTTGTCTGGAAGCTGCTGATGTTGGGGATTACCAGGCAGGGGGCGGCAGGGGGGTTGGACAACCAAGTTGCAGTGATGTTATGGTGCCTATCTTGGCTGATGCCAATGATGACAAGCATGTCGCAGTATGTTCCTGTCAAGTGCAAGCAGTACAAGGGCTCAAGGTCAGGTCTGTGCTCTATACGACTCTATACCATTCCATGCCCTTGTCAGATCTATAGTTTGGTGCACTTAGTGGACTCAGGTTTGCGCCTGCCGTGGTTCGTCGCCTGGCGGTTCAACAGTGCTAGCGCATGCTGAAGCTTTACATGTATAGTGACTGACCCGACCCATTCCCAATCAGTTTGGAGATTTCGGATCTCATCCATACTCGTACCATTTTCGGACATGTTTGGACACACTAGGAGAGCCCTTATTTCTGGATTTTGGTGCGCTGATCCGGAAGGCAATGTTCCTTTTCCATCCTTTTCCGAGTCCTAGCAGACTCAGGCAAGGCTTTGCCCACATCCAGTGCTTGGCAGACTTAGCAGCCAGTAAATGGCCCTCCTTGGAACCGTGGCTTGCTTGAGTTCAAGCCTGTCAGTTGCCCCTCGCACTCAACATGTTGCACCTCTTGGATGCAACTAAGGTGGCGGCAATGTCCAACCTGCAAGCAGAACTATGTCGATCATGTGTCCCCAGCTGAGAGTCATAGTGCGAGAAAACATGAAAAAAAAGTGCGTTCTACCATTTTATTTCATATTAGAATTTCACTTGCTCCTAAAAAGGTGGGTCCGTTAGGTCCGCAGGATTCAGCTCAACGATGTTCGGAAATCGATGAGGCACTTGGCCTTGAGCAAAGCACTCTGGGAAGTCGCACAAGACAAAAGCGCGGATGTCCGACGGGCGGCTGCTGGCCAACTAGGCAGGGGTGACCCATCTTGCCGCTGGACTTAAGCGCTTCAGCTCAATAGAGCCAGAGAGCACGTGAGGGCACAATCCTGCTGTATCCATCGTATCCTGCCACTGGAATTTGGCCTTGTGATAGGCCTGGCACTCTTCGCTAACAGTGACTTCGGTGAGGTGCTTCGCTAAAGTTTCCGCTGAATGGCGGTTGTGACGTTGTGATGTTTGTGGGCAGTTTCACATTCTCTTTCCAGAGTGAAGATTGAGACTTGGTGCGTCCCAGGCGGCTGCAATCCATCGCGAGACCCTGGCTTCATGCTTGGAAGCTCTAGGACCCTTCAGAACCTGAGACATCTTTCAATGGCACTGCAACGAAAGCTTAAAAGCACATCATGGCACATTTGGATGTGAGGATGGGAGCATCCAGATACGCTTGCATCAGTGGCTCGTTGAACTTGACTGGTTTGATTTTGATTTCTCAATTCTGTTCCTGTATTTTGGGCATTTCACGGTTGCAAGATGTATGTTCCCATGTTGTTTGATTTATCCGGCCGTCGGCCACAGCCGACGTTGGTTCTAAGGCAAACAACCTGGCGTGCCTTGGCATATTAATGCTACCATTTGCCGCTTCAGTCAATGCTGAGCAGCACATTTCGCAATGCAAAAAAAAAGCATGTTCGTCCCGACCTGTTTGAGCACCAAAGGATCCAAAGGTTGATGAAATCTAGATGGTCTAGTCTTATCATGTCTTATCCTCCTCATTACTAGTTTTTCCTCTCACATGGAGCGATTGTCCCGTGACACTGCGCTCTTTTTGTCAGTTTTGTGCAAGGATGGCTCTGCGAGCTGAAGGGAAGGCCTCTGAAGCGGAGATGCTCTACACTGAGGCGGTGGAGGCTGGGCTCACAGCCACGAAGCAGCAGATCCGTGCGATATTGGTGTGATTATGTGCGGATTATTAGATTCGTTGGAAACAGCGGGGGATCACTGACTGAAATCACATTTCGGGTGTGGACAAGTTTAAGAAATGCTTCCGGCCAGGTCATGAAGCGCGTGTTTGGCCCAGCTGCTTGACGAAAGTGTTTGGCCCAGTTGGCTACAAACATCTACAAACCATACCAAACCCATTCCCTATCAGCCCTATCATTCCCTCAGCGTATGAAATAATTGGTTCCACAAGAGGTTCAAAAGGCCGATTTGTCGAGGTAGAAGTTGTTCGCCTAAAACATTCATGGGCGAATCGGGTTTCATTGATGCCAAGCAGCAACGTTTGGCATGGGTTGTGGAAAGACTGCAGCTGGATAAAGGCTGCTTTTTTAAGCATCAAGATGATCAAGATGCAAGCAATTTGAAATGCGGAAGGGTTATAATTGACATTAATAAATATACAATTCTTAATTGACTAACATTGACTAACAATAGTTCAATCATTTTCAATACATATCAAAAGGCCATAAAGCCAAGGACCCAAGGCTTTGCCAGGATCCATGTGTCCATGTCCAAACGTACCACTTGGTCCAAGGAAGATCCCGACACCCTGGCCACTGCCTCCAACCTGGGTCTTGCACTCTTGGAGCAGGATCAAAATGAATCAAGAAGTCGAAAGATTTTGAACATCGAAGGAAGCAGTTCTGCCCCCGATGCGCTTTTCAGAACTTACTTTGAGTGAAATCTAGTGAGATCCAATGAGATGGGCACTCTGCAGAAGTCAAGTTGTCTCTTGCAGGATGCCCGAAACATCCGGAAACAACATTTTGATTGAGTTCATCATTCCCTACCCGTATTTGTACCACTGTCACCCTTGTTCCCTCTTTAATCAGCTTCATTGACTTGTTGGCTGACCGGAAACTTTTGGGGGTGGCACACTCTGCAGCCAGTTTTTTCATTGGCTGCCTTTTTGTTCCGGGTTTCCATAGGTCCCGGGACGTGCGGATTGACTCGCACTGTCACATATATGCTCTTTTGCTTCAATTTCCTCCACCTCCACCACAGAGCTTGGAACTTTTCACCGAAATTTGTCTCCTTCCGATCTTCAGAACTTTGTTTGAGTTTGCCTGCTTTGCTGCAGAGGAGAAGTGGGCAGAGGCCAGAGGGGGGAGGGAGAGAGAGAGAGAGAGAAGGAGAAGGAGAGAAGAGAGAGAGAAGAGAGAGAGAGAGAAGAGAGAAGAGAGAGAGAGAGGGGGAAATAGCCTCCTTGTGAATGCGCCGTTGTGTGGTTGGTTGGTTTCCAGTATTGTGTCCAGGCAACGACCTTGCTGGAAGAGTCTCTGGCGAGCACAAGGTGTGGAAACCAGAAACCGACTATGCATGGCATGGAGAGTTCAATGTGTGACAGTATTTCTTTCATCATATTCCATCATATTTATTGATCATTCCTTGGGACTCCTTTGGGAACAAGTTTCTGGATTTTGATGAATTGACTGGGAATAATTACTCAATTTGAAGATTCCTTTTTAGACAGGTGATGACAGGTGGCATCGTGAATAGGAGATATCCCCCTCCTCCAACCACTTCCACATCGACACAAATATATACTTACATTATATACATATATTAGGCCAGGTTGTGATCCCAAGACAAGCACTCTAAGGCGCGTATTGGGTCGCGATAGCCCACGAGCTTTGAAACTTGGCGGTTTGTTTGTGGGGGAGAGGTGCTCAAAGTCCCTTATTGTGATACTTGGTACGGCCAAAGGTGGAAATGTCTTCGCATCACCGGAAAAAATCCTGGATTAGATTATTAGATGATGGATGGCGTTTTCGTTCAAGAGAGTGTGGGTGTGGTTTTTTTCGACCATTCGCAAGGCTGCAGTTCATGGGCTGTGTCGAGTTCAAAGATAGTTCAGGCAGCAGAATCTGCGATATCTAATTAATTAATTAATTAATTAATTACATCTGCAGTGAAATCAACCGCCCCGATTCCTATCGTTACCAAGAGGCACTTTTTATTTTGGAATGGATTTGGAATTGGAAAGGCCAGGCATCGTTTCACACTCAGACCTTGCCAGGAAGTCTTGATCAGGCTTATGCTATCTCGCGTTCCCTCACTAGTTGGAGTGATGATGCTGATGGTGCTGGGTGGAGTATGGGTTTAGGCCCAATGAAATGTTGTTTCTGCACTGCAGATGTCATCTTCTCAACTCGAACCACACCGAACACCGAGTGAATCTCTCAGGACCATGGCAGCAAATTTGGCAATGGCCCTGGAAGCACAGAAAAGATGCTGGGCGAAAACGCTGCCAGAGGATGCAGGGAAACACTTGGCACATGTGGTTTGTAAATATATATATATATGTGTGTGTGTGTACATGTTTGCACAGATTTGCGCATGTTACTACATGATTGTACATGTTCATGTCATGTTTGCACGCATTGGTAGATGACCTACAGCCGACTGGTGGCCTGACTCTTTCAAATTTTCGTACCATCCTATGATTTCAGATCCATCTCCCTCTGGATCCAAGGATTTCCTGAGGCCTGCCGTGTGGGAAGAGCCGTCGTGCAACAGTGAGCTATATGCTGCTCTAATCTGCTGTATTCGCATGACACTTACTATCACTCAAACATGTTCAAAGCATTTCAAAGCTGCCTTTCCTCTTGGCCATACTGCGGCACACTCCTTCAAAAAAACTCCGACCAGTACTTCGATATAGTTGGATGCTTTTGCGATCTTTTGCGTGCCTTCGCAGCTTTTGGTTGCATTGCTGGCAAGGCAGTCAAGCTGCACCAAGAGCGGTTGCTGGGCCTGGTCAGTGCTAGGTTTGCTAGGTCTGCTGGGTAATCAATCATGTGCCATGCTTTGCCACCAGTCGGTTCCGTTTCCTGACGCTGCGATTGTCTGCTGCAAGCTGTATGCTTCCCGCATATCAAGAACATATTCAAAGATCATATCAAATCACAAATAAGACGAAACACCGACACACACACACACATTCCGTGAACCGAGGCTGGAGGTTCTACGCCAGGTTTGTGGGCGCTGCCATGAGGAGTCACTCATGGCCACCGAGGAGACATCCAGGCAGGGCCTAGTCCAGAAGCAACGCATCAATTCTTTGGCATTGGTGCAAAAGGCATCAATGATGACTTCAAGCCACTGGAGCAATGGAAAATAAAACAAAATGCAGGACAGCATGCCAGCATGTCACCATGTTCAATGCATAACAAGCGCTAGAACATGAACACACCCACACACCCATACACACACACACACCCACATGACCTCTTTGCTGACTGACAAAAAGTTTGCTCCGATTCCATGATATTCACCGGAAATAAGATATTGTAATGCCTTCTTTGCTGAGCAAATCCTGTGAAGGGCTCTGTGTGCTTTTAGTGCCACTGATGGTGCCATCGAATTGCAGAAGCGTACTCTACAGGAAGTCCGCGCAGATTTGGGTGCCTCAGCAATGAGGTTAAGCATTGCATAGCTACTGTAGTTGATTGATTAAAGTCCTCCGCATGGAAACGAGAAATCAAGAACTTCATCGTCATTGCTTGCAACTTGTGGCTTCCTTTCAATTAGCTACAACAAATAATGTTGACTGAATAATTCTGACCGTCCACTTTGCTGAGAGAGAACGCTTCTGGATGCGCAGTGTAGTGGTGTGCCATTTGAGGCAGAGACCACCCATATGCGTTGCATGGTTGCAAAATTAAATGAGAAAGCAGGGCTGCAGTAAGACTCAGGATGTCATACTGGCCACAAGAAATATAAAGGATAGTGCAGCTCAAAATGAAAGCGAGAAAGAACACACAGTTGCTGCTCGGTGATGTCACAGTAAAATGCAATAAACCGGTGGCTGTTTAAAGGTCAGACAATCACAGTGTGTGTAAAACTGGCTGAAATTGATTTGTCAAGATGATAAAATAAGTAAAACCTCAGAAACCCTCAGACATCCTTAAACCTTCTTGGACCTGTTCTGTTCAAGTCTCTTGATATGCTGAGGCTTGCCTTCCAAAAGTCCTTGGCGCACACCTTCCTTGATGTGGGTTTGGCGGATCAGGCCAAGCTGGATACAGGGAGAAGCATTGCCGCTCTGTTTTGTACAGACTCATATCATCCCATATCTAATCTCTTGTAAGATGGAAGTATCCAACAGTGGCCAGAGTCACCAGAGGATTGTCGACAGCAACCCTGGGCTAAAGGCGCATGTATCAAAATAGATGCAAATAGATGTTTCACGGAAAGGCATGGAAAGCAGTGTCGCTCAAGGACCCAATGTACGCAATGTAGCCCACAACAGAGTACCAAGACAAAGCGGAACAGCAGGACCCACATCAGCGCAAAAAATGGCAGAAAGGAGGTCCCAACGGTGGACACTGGGAATGTGTTTATGATTGTGTTTTTCAAGGTCTGCGTGGAGAACGATATTGACCGTACACAAAATATAACTTACCCGATTTTTCATGGAGAATCTCGGAGCCACTTCAGCTGGAGGCTTCGCAGCTCTTGCGGCGCACGTTGGTTGCAGAACGAGCCAATGGCGCAGAGCCGTTGCAAGTGGAACTGCCTCGTGATTTGCGATGGAACCGATATGGAACCGATATGGAACAGTTTGCATGCTTTGTTACATGGATTTGGGGTCAGTTGCATGGGAATACTATGGAATACTGCTGCAATGATGTGCCTCGCATTGTTTGATGGCGGTTCGGGTCAAGGCATGGTATTTACAGCTGCTTGCGTCTACTGTACTTGCCAAACAAGATCATAAAAGATTGGAATGTGTTCTGTAGATTTCTTTCTCCACATTGAGGGTTTCAGTGTGGCATCCGTAAGGTCACCTCAGGAAGTGAGAAGAACTGAAAGGAAACAGTTCCAAACCCGTTGCCCACAGTTTTGGAAACGTGTTTGTTTGATTTTGTTTGCTGGACATATCCTGTTCCATAGTTCCAGTTGGTATGTTCATGGGAAGGCTAAAGCAGCAGCTTCCGGAGAATCTTGTTGAGGTTGATTGATGTTGACGTTCGTTGGTTCTGGCCTTCCGGAAAAGAAACGGAAACAAACTCGGAGCTGCTGGCATTCAGAGAGCTGGTCGTCCGCTGCCAGTCACTTCCATCAAAAAGCGTACGAGAACTGAGTCTCAGGAAGACTCCCATGAACAATGAACATGTTCATCCTAGGTCCTAGGCGCTAGGCTATACTTGTAACATGTATATGTGTACAATATACGTATATATATAATATGTATATATATAATCTATCTGTGCATGTGATACATATATGAAACTGGAACTTTACCAACTTTACCCAGGGTTTGGCAGAGTGAATTTGTGCCGAATTGGAGGCTGGGAATTCAAAGTAAACTTCACAGCTCAAGTGGAAGGCATGCTTTCGTGTTGGGAGACTAGACTTACTAGATTTAGACAGAAACAATGAAAGAGGAGGGAACTTCATGAACTCATCCAGCAGGTTTGAAAAGCAAACACCTTTTCAAATTGCCATCCTGGAAGCTGGGTCCGCTATATATGGAAACTGACAACTTGAGGGAGTACTTTGAGACACTGTGCCTTGGCCTCAAACTTCGGTGTTTCCCATGTGCTGTGGGAATTGCAAGCTGAGCCACGCTAATGTTATGCTAAAATGATCAACGATTCAGTCCAACAGTCTATGCAATCCACGCTGGGAGGATAAGTGACGACAGAGCTCTATCAAGATCATGTTACCTTTCAGTTGTGGGTCCCCATTTTCCGTTATTTTGTATCGAAACGAGAAGAAACAGAGGTACCGCGAAGGCGGAGTCTTTAAGTCTTCAGAGTACACGGAGGATGATGACTTCAGGGCGGCATGGAAGCACATGAGGACCGGCATTTTCGTGTGGAAAGATGCCATCGACTTGTCAACCAAGCCAAATCCAAAATGTTTCTTCCATTACACTGGTCACTTGGCTTGGATTTTGTAATTTATTGGTTGTTGAACGTAGGATTTGTGCAGAGAGAGCGTTTGCACTTGAACCGTGCGCATTGCATGATTTGTATTGATTTGTTTCATGGGTTTTAAGCATTTTTTTGGGTGAACTTTAAGATATAAGTTCTCAGATTCTCAGGTGAACTTCCTTACCGGAACATCACGGCCATTCAGAAAGAAGCAGCTGAAATTTGGGCATCTTTGAAGACAGAAGGGCCAGGTGCCAATGCCTGGTGGGGTCGTGGGGTCTACAGCGTCCCGAAGCCACCGAATGAGTGGAAAAACAGGCAGGAACTGTTGGACAACAATTTCCGTAACATGATGAAGAGAGACTTGGCAGATCCGAACAAAGGAGAAGCTTTTGTGAACAAAGAGTACCCACCACGCGCCGCGTTTCTGATCTGTTGAATCAAGCTTTGTCAGAAAGTTGGTTGGTTAATCAACTAAACCTTAAAATACATTAAAATACTATGTCAGAAAGATGTTGCATGACTTACTGCGAATTTCGGTGAGTGAAGCTGTTCTTTGACCGAGCATGGCACGGCCACACACCAGGTTTTGCATCCCGCTTCTCATCGATGCCGAACATGCCTACGACGTCTCGGTGCGGGCAACCCCTGAGATGGAAGCAGCTGGAAAGCCACCTGGGAGAAATCTGGCCGATAAACTCTTGAATGAACCTGGACATCCACAGCGCTGCTGTGTCGTTTTGCGTGTGGAAGGTGAGCAGGGCATCGAAAATGCCAAGGGTCGACTGGTGGATACACTCCGGCAGCGTGAGGCCAATGCCCAAGATGGTGAGGCAAAAACCAGCGCCAAACTGAGGCTGGGAAGTGCATTGTATCAGCGTGGCTTTCATGAAGAGGCCTTGGGATATTTGCAAGATGCATTTCGGGACTTGGAGTTCAGCAAGGGCGAGGAAGATCCACAAACTCTCCAAGCCCTGCATACTCTAGCCATATGCCTTGCTCAAATGAACCGCCTCTCCGAGGCTGAGCCGTTCTTCCAACGATGCTTGGAAGTGAAAGCAAGGACTTTCGGTGTAGAGCATCGTTCCACCCGTGCTTCGATGAACTGTCTTGCATTGGTGCTTGATGGGTATAAGCGGCATTCAGAGGCAGAGCCAATACATCGGAGATGTGTGGAAATCACGTCAAAGATTTTTGGCCTCTTGGTCTACATGTGCTTTGTTGTTCTTTCGTTTTTTCCGCGATTCCGAACTGAGATGCTTTTATGCGTTAGCCTGGTACAGTATGTGCCGAGAGATTGGCATAGATTAACAGTGAGAGGACCGCTGTTGGCAGTTGGTCGACATTCCCATGGTCAGGATAAACTGAACCCAATACGACTGATCCAATCCAAGATGATGCGACCACAAATGCTTTGAATCCAAACCTCGTTGCTTTTGGCACGCCGCGTTTTAAATAAGGACCTGAGCATGAAGACACGCTGGCGTCGGAGACGAATCTGGCTTTGTGCCTATGTTCATTGAGGCGCCCTGAAGAAGCCTTGCCTCTGGCTCGCCATAGTTTAGAGGTCAAAGAACGGACCTTGGGCCCTGAGCATCCGAAGCTTTGGTTTGTTTATGTTTCAACATGTTTTGTGTTTTTTTGCTTGATTTTTTTTTGGGGGGGGTATGGTCAACTTAAGACATTTTAAGTGCATTTTGTAGTGCATTGGTCGGTTCCAGCCCTTTGCATTGCTCTGCGAAGTGCCAGGGTGTTGCCGTTTGTTTGGAGCCATCCTGAGGCTCACCGTGGCTCAGCTGTACAATGTGGCCGTCAACTTTTGCTACCTGCAACGCCTTCCGGAGGCGGAGCCGTTGCTGCAACGTGCCTTTGCAATCCAAGCGAAGATCCTTGGGGAGGATCACCCAGAGACCTTGCACTTTGGCCATCTGTGAGTTGGAGAATTTCTATTGTTTTGCTAGCCGTATCTAGCCGTATATGTTCTTCAGATATTGTCAAAGCATGCCAAAGCGACATGACATCATTTCCTCGACCCGGAGCTTGGGCGGTCGCATTTGATATCTGTCTTCTGAGCCTTGTGGAACATGTTACTCTTTCGTTGGTGAGTTGATAACGGACCGGACCGAAACAACATTAATGAAATGAAGAAATGCTTCTACTTCGCCCCCGGCATCCAGTGTGCACGCAGCTACCCCAAACCCTCCAGACTTGATAGTCCTGGCATGTCCTGGCGCTCACATCCTGAGATCCTGAGGGGCACAGTCCAAAGTCTTGCTAAATGCTTGGCCCGGATGCAACGCCCGGCAGATGCGGAGTTTTGGTTCCGTCAAACACTGGTTAGCAAAGAGCGAACCCGTTCCAGCGACCATCCTGAAGTGGTAAGCGCTTTGGAAGATTTGGGCATATGTTTAGGCCAGTCTCTTGCCTGGTTTGGCCGGTTGGTATTACCGTGTATTATCCATGCATTGTCCAAAAGGGATCATATTAAGATATCTAAAGCAGTGTGTGTGTGTGTGTGGAGGTAGTGGAAATACTCCAACAAACTTCCAAACTTACAAACTTTCCAACGGTGTACCACGGCATATTCCCGTATCATCAGTCCTTCCTGAGGCTTGGCCGCCTTGAAGAGGCTGAAGTCTTTTTGCGTCGAGCGCATGACATACTTTACCGGACATTGGGAAAGCTGCATCCCCACCGCCGCAGTGCACTCAGGAACCTGGGAATATGTCGCTCGGATGAGAAACACTGTGAAATGATCAAAGATGATCAAAGCATATCAAAGCCTGAAAGGCGTTGACCGTTTGGTTCGTTTTTGCCTGCCACAGCAATTTGTTGAATTCGTCATTGGTTTGCTGGACTGAAACTTCCATTTCAAACTTCCATTTTCACTTGCATGATTGAATTCCTGTTTCATGAGTATGATTCTCATATATTCTGATTCTAATTATATTTTAAAATGTTTGTTGTTTTTTTCCTCATTGTTTAAGTAGGTGCCGGATCTGTCAAATATATTTGACCTTCGGATATCTTCGCTTTTTCCTCGCGCTTGAGTCGCAAGGTCTTCACAGGATGGGACGGGCCCAGGAGGCAGAAGAGTGTCAGAAGGAAATCGTGGAAATCTTAGAGGTCCGAGCTGTTTAGCGAGGGTCCCGGGTTTCGACGGTTTGGGGGTCTGTAAATTCAGCGTAAATTGTGTAAACTGAATGCTGTTTTGACCACAGAAGGTGTGTTTTTCAGGGCCACTGATGCTTGAACCCCAAGATAGTCATGTGGTACGTTGCATAATATACAGTGTGATGTGGTAAGATGTGGTCAGATGTGGTAAGGCAAGCGTCTCCAAACAAAAGGCTGTCCAATTTGGAAGACAATTTGTTAACAACTTGTTTGACAACTTGTTTCAGTGCTTTCATTTTTCGTAAGGCCGAAAAAGAAGCGAAAGCTGCTAAGGCTGCTCTTGCCTTTGATCTATACAAGTCTACTGCTGCGGCTTTGGTTTTCTGCTATGTTTCTGCGATGAATCATGAATCCTCAAATTTCCTCAGGAATCTCGAGAATCAGATTTCTCTTTGTCCATGGTGCTTGTAGACCGGTCCCGGAAGGTATTTCAGTTCCTCATAGTGTGTTGCATGCAGACAGCAATGATCAGCAATGTCAAAAGCGACAAGGCCAAAGCACGTGCAGAACAGGCCAAGTTATATGCAGAAGCCGTAGCAGAGGCCCCAGACCCTAGCAGCGACAAGGCCATGTACGTTGAACGTGTCTGCTGTCTTTTTAGCGGATCACTAGCATCAGTGACCCGAGCTGGCTGTGACCCTGTTCGAGAGTCACTCGTCTTTCAGACCTTAGACTCCCTGGATAGCTGACATAGCCAACCAAAGGTTTTTTGTCGATCTACACAGATGGCACCCAAAGTCCACTATGTTCTCACCAAAATATCTCGAGCTCAATTTCTTTGAAGAACGATGTTGAGACATGCCGCTGCCGTACTGAGGCTCGGCCCACCATTGCGCCCTGGAGTGAGGTGCTGATGGCTCTGAGAGTAGTTGCGAGGGGGGGCAAAACGAAACAAAGCAAAGCAGCGAAAGCGATATGTCTGATATGACTGATATGACCGGTATCGGTATACACATGTGCAGGTTCACACCGTGAAGCATGGTCTATCCAGCGCTGTCCCTCATGCTGATGCATGATTATTTGAGCGAGATCGAAAGAAACACCATGAAGCAAACCTGTTGTCACTGCGGCAGCGAGATTTCAAGGATCTTTGTTAAAGTATTATTTCAGAAAAATGTATGTCATGAATTGGGGAAACAAAATCAACATTTGTTTGAAGCCCTGCAAATCAGGTATAGTCAGGTTGACCCTTCACATCCCGCTGCAGGTGGAAGCGATTTTCCACCGATGTTTGGGTGCGGAGGGTCTCCGCTTTAAGGAGAGCCTCTTGGATCCAAAGGTGGTTCAGCACAGAGATTTTCACCGGACTGCTTTGTGGTTAGTGGATGTGGCAAACCAGAGCACAGGAATGCCGGGCAGGGCACAGGGTCCAAAAATGAAAAATGTATAAACATGTAATCATGTCAATCAATGTTTTATTGTAGATTTGAGCAGATTCTTTTACGGCTCGTGGGAAGCGTAAAGTGCAAAGGTTCCATTGGCGCGAAAGGGATTTCAGAATGTTAAGATTGTCCCAAATTTGGAGGATGTCCATCCAAGAATGCTAGGGCCAAGGGGGTCGCATGTTGCTCAGGCTACATCAAACTTTTGACTTCGATGGGCATCGTCACCATGGATGAGGCTCAAGCCCTATTTCAGGAGACTGCTAGTCGTTTCGATGAGATGAGAAGGGCCCACAACCCCCCAATTCAGAGCAGAATGATGTGCCTTGCCAACAGTCGCATCGATGGTTTTTGCACAGGAGCATCATGGGCCCCACATCAGTGCTTTGGTTGCACAAGAGGCGGGTTTTGGAAGGGGCTTGGCGATTTTTGTTTGAGATAGATACATTGGACGCATGCTCTGCCAAGGCGTGAACGATTTTTTGGAGTTGATTCGCCCCAAGGACTGAAGGAATTGCTTGCTGCCTTGAAAATTCACTCGCGATTCAAACATGACCAGGTTTTGTTTGCTTGCGCCGCGCATGGTTTGCCTTGAAGTGCATCCGATCCAAAGTTGTTCCCCCAGAATATCAATGAATATCATGTATTCCTAAGGTTTCAAATCTCATTGTTCTGATGCCCAGCCGTCAGGAGGAGCCCCGTGTGCTTCTGACAGCCCATCAGACGATGGGGAACCACATCGTCATGACGCCTGCCACAACGCCTGTCATGGGGAACCACATCGTCATGACGCCTGCCACAACGCCTGTCATGGGGAACCACATCGTCATGACGCCTGCCACAACGCCTGTCATGGGGAACCACATCGTCATGACGCCTGCCACAACGCCTGTCATGGGGAACCACATCGTCATGACGCCTGCCACAACGCCTGTCATGGGGAACCACATCGTCATGACGCCTGCCACAACGCCTGTCATGGGGAACCACATTGTCATGACGCCTGCCACAACGCCTGTCATGGGGAACCACATCGTCATGACGCCTGCCACAACGCCTGTCATGGGGAACCACATCGTCATGACGCCTGCCACAACGCCTGTCATAACGCCCTGCTATCAGGAGAAGGGGCTGTGTGCTTCCATTCGCCATGTCACTGTTTCCTAGAGTGTCGCGTATTTGCACTCAATCAAGAGCCTTAAACACAAAGCCTCCAAGAGAATTCTGGGGATCGACGTTGGAAAAAGGATGGCCATGCATTGCTGCTAAAAGTAAACTGGAAGTTATTCTTGCAGCTGGTATTGCTGCAAATACCATTGCATCACTCATGCATTGTGATCAAGAGAAGTGGTGCCACGTTTTTTGCAGTTTCTGTAATGTTGATGCACAGTAGTACCACATGTATATATCCTTTTCACCTCATATACTGTTGCGTGCGTGGCTCAAGAAACATGCTTTGCAGGGTGTACTAGGTTTGTGGCTTATCCCGGTTTCTAGCTTGTTTCTACAGGTTATCAGCCGTATCGCCAAGCGATCGCTGGTTTCCTTTGTTTCACACTTGTCGTTCTTTCTCCGTAGTTTTCGCAATGTCCACTCCCCCTGCGCTTCCTGCCCCGGGCGGGAACGCCTCGGCTGCATTGGCTTTGGCGACAACTACACAACCGGAGGAAGTGGTAATCCATTCAGGCGCGGCTACACAACAGAAGGGGACATGAGTTATCTGGATGAAGAGTTTGACCCATGCCGTCAAGATCCACGCAGGAACATGCCAGGTATTTTGGATTCAAACATTGACATCAGCCAACTCAACACCATCAACTTTAACAGTGTTGATCAGCGTACCGCCCACGTGGCAGTGGTACAACAAGGCATTGATCCAAACCTGGCGAACCAGCTCATGGCTGCTCAACAGCAGGCATTGCAGAGTGAGGCGAATGTACGTCACTCTGAGGTCATGGAGCGTCAACGTCTGGAGCTTGTGAGTGAAGCTCGACATCAACTTGCAAGCGTCGAACAACAAGCAGCCGAAGAAATTTCCAGGAGAAACCTTTTGTTGAACGAGCAGGCCGCCCAGGCGATGAGTGAGCATAAATCTGCTCAACTGCAGGTCACAGCGCAGGATCATCGCATCAGGGAACTGAGTGCCGAATTGACTCACGTGGTCAACAATGCAGGTGTTTTGACATCGTCTGCGGAGAAGTCCAATGCTGATCTGCAGGCAGCACGTTCAGAACTTGCAGAGTACCGCACTCAGATTGATGCAATGAATCAACACGCTTTGAACATGCATAAGCTGGCCGAATCTCAGAAGAAGGACTTCGAGGCGGAGATTGAGAAGCTTCGGAAGGAGCAGAGAGAGCTCATCCGGAATTTAAAGTCTCAACCTCTGGAGGGAACTCCTGGACTTATGATTCACTACGGTTCAGGGAAACCCATTCCACAATCCTCGAAGCCCAAAGGTCCAACCATTGTAGAGTTAGCTTCGGGAAGCAAGAAGCCTCAGCATTCATCAGATGCTGACGACGAGCATTTTCAGGCAGAACCTTTGAAGCCACCGGGATTACCCGGCGGTGGACCTCCAGGAGATGACGATGGTGATGATGAATCTGACGACAAGAGAGGTCGCAGAGACAAGAAAGACAAGAAGAAGGACCGCAAGACTAGTCGTGGCCGCTCGCGACGACGACGTCGAAGAGATCCTTCATCCTCACCTTCATCATCAACATCCCCTACGTCATCAAGTTCGGATTCTGAGAGATCCTTTACCCGAAAGGTCAAAAAGGCCTTGGAGCGTTCTAGGACTAGTGATACTAAGGCCAAAGAGTCTGATAGGATCCTTGTACCTAAGTTCCCTCAACCCGAAAATTATAGGAATTGGAGAATCCGAGTAAGGGATGCCATAATTGCTGCTTCTGCTAAACCCGACCTAGCTTTTCAGTGGGTGGAGGAAGTGTTCAGGACAGATCAGTCTGCCGACGCTTTGAAGGACTCAGGTAAATTCGTGACCCTGGACGCAAAGCTCATGTCTTCGCTCACCAACATCTGCGAAGGGGACTTTGCACGGCAACTTGACATCTTTAAAGAAGAACAAGCCAAGTCAGGGACACCAGCTAGGGGACGTCAAGCATTGCTCATGATTCATAAACACTTCAGTACTAGTAGGAAGCATGGTGCAGTGTACGACATTGAGGACCTCATGGCTGTTACCTTAGTCAATGATGATCTCAGAGGTTTCATCACTCGATGGGACGCTGTGATCGCTGGAATGACTTCCGAGCCTGACATGATGTGGAAGCAAGCCTACTTTCACAACGCCATCAAGAACTTCAAGCCTCTCTCTCATGATTTGGCTGTGTATGATCGCACACCGGAGGGGGAACCCAACCGCTCTTATGACTTTCTCATGAAAGCTGCGAGGGACTACCTTGAGAGAAGACGTCTGGAGAAGATGAGACAGGCTACTAAGAAGTCCGTTTCAGGCAAAAGAGATGCAACGCCAGCACCCACGAGGCCGACATCCACGGGGAAGCCCACTGGCATTTGCTATGACTTTCAGGCTGGCAAATGTACCAGGGGAAAGGATTGCCGATACCGACATGAAAAGGCAGACAAAGGAAAAGGCGGAGGTAAGAAAGGCAAATCTAGGTCCAAGTCTAGGGGCGATGGTCGATCTTTGTCTCCTGGATCTAGGAACCAAGTGTGTAAGTTTTGGAAGGCAGGTAAGTGTCAACGAGGTAATGACTGTGCTTTCCAACACCCACCAAAGCCTGCAGCTGCATCTACCAAAGATGACAAGCGTGGAAAGAGCCAGAAAAAGAAGAAGAGGAATAAGAAGAAGAAGGGCGATCGCTCCAGATCGTCAAGTCGAGGTTCCAACTCCTCGAGAGGCTCTCAGAGTCTCAAGGACAAAGGGGGAAAACCATCTTCCTCTGGCTCAGCTGCAGTTTGCCTGATGCGCGCTCTGATGATGGTCGCAGTCGTCAACCCTTCGACCAGCACTCATCGCGTGCCGGAAGGCATCGCCTCTCCGCATTGTTTCAACCAGCATTTTGCCATGCCAGTTACACCCAATCGCACTGTTTCATTTGGGGGCAACGATGAAATTTTCGAAGTTCCCATTGAGCAAAACTGTAATTTATATCCGTGCCAAGCCAAGCAACGAACTTTCAATCCAGTTCGCATCACCAAGGACGATCGTACTCGCAAAGATACGATCGAAGCACGAGAAAGTGATGCAATACTTGCAGCACAAATGTTGCAATCAGCTGTCTTTCGGGAGTTGCATGGTAAGCTTTGCAAATGCAGCTTTGAATGTGACAGTGATATCGGCTGTCGCCACTGCATCCGTTCCGACCTGAATGCCCTGCCAGGACATATGCCGTCCCAGCAGCGTAACGCATCCGCTGAGATAGCATGGATTGCTGACACTGGTAGTGCACAGGACTTAGTTTGCAGCAAGATGATTCCCGATGACATCGTGTATCACTCTCATGAACCCCTTGAATTAATCACTGCAAATGGTTCTCAATCAGCTGACCAACAAGCTTCTGTTCACATTGATTGCATCGACAAAGAAGTTCATCCATATGTTCTTCCTGATACCCCGGCTGTAATATCGGTAGGGATGAGATGTATTCAAGATGGATGGGATTTTGTTTGGAAAAGCTTTAGTCGCCCATATTTCAAGAAGAAAGATGGAACTAAGATCAAACTTGAAGTCAAAGATTTTGTTCCTTATCTACCATCCAGAGATGGCCAGGTACCCGCTGCAGTAGGGATTCCGTTTTCATGGAACTCCGCTGCCGGGAACGGCAAGCCCATCATCTCACCTGTTCGAAGGTCTCGCATGTCAGTCGTCGGTGCCGAGTCCGATGATGAAGTCGAGGAGGTCGAAGTACCTTACGAGGCTTCCATCGCTGATGACGATGAAACTCCCGGACAAGCTATCGACGACCTCGAAGAATTCTTTCCTGGTGAACTTGCACCCGGACCGCCAGCAGCCATGACACCAGACGTTGTCGAAGGTTCGGAAGATGAAGCCGAAGCTCCTGAAGAACCAGTTGACGGTCGACTTCAGTTGCCTGAACCAAAACCAATTGATCGTGGTGAAGCTGCACTTCGAGAAGAGGCCAGGACCCTTAGGCACATGATGACACATACCCCAAAGAATCCCTTTTGTGAAACATGCAAATGTGCAAAGATGTACAAACCTACCAAACGTAGCAAAGGGGAATCTCTGACTGTGGAATCCAACAAGTTTGGGGATCACATCACTGGGGATCATCTTGTGACTAGGGATGCCAACGAACAATCAATTGATGGTGACAGGGTTGCTATGGTCATGAAAGATGTCGCTACGAATTTTCGTTGGATTTATCCTTCAGCTAGAAGTCATGCCAAAGATTGCGTTTTAGCTTTTAGGCATTTCATTGCACCTGGTGAAGAAGTCGGAGTGTTTTATTCCGATGCAGCGCCATCCATCAAGCTCGCTTGTCGGGAGGTTGGGTGGAGACAGAACACCAGTGTTGCTTATGTCTCTAAGTCGAACGCAGTCGCCGAGAGGAATCTCAGGTCCGTACTTGAAGGGACTAGAGTAAACCTTGAACAGGCAGGGCTTCACCATTCTTATTGGAGTTATGCTGCACGACACTGGTGTATGGCACACAATATCCAGGACCACCCTGAAATCTTATCTCCGTGGGAGCTTCGTTTTGGGGAAAAGTTCAAGGGACCCAACATTCCTTTTGGGGCTCGCATTGACTACTGGACTGGTCCGAAACTTAAACCCAAGAAAGATTTGCGTTTTGACCCAACTTCAAATCCGGGTATCTTTTTGGGATATGCCATGCAACCAGGTTTCGTTTGGAGAAATGAATTTCTTGTAGCATCATTGAAGGACCTCATGGAGAAGGAATTCAACGAGTCAGTTCAAGTTGTGCGTGTCAACCAACTCACTGTACCTGATGGACCTTTCGTTTATCCTTTGAAAGGTAGATATAAGGCCATTAGGGAAGGTTTATACGAATCTCTTAGCCTTGATGCTCCACCAGATCCAAAGAAGATGGACGCTCAAACCATTGAAGACTTGGTTGCTCCAAGGAAAACTGTTGAGCCAGGACCGGTGGAGGGCGAAGAGGAGTTTGAACAGTTGATGCGTGAAGCTGGAC